TTCAGTCGTCTCGTGTGCCATGACACGCCATTTTCGGGACGCGTCGGACGAATCGTCTGAATGCGGGAGCAGGGCTTGATTTGGCATGGCCGATGGGGTTGCGCGTCGAGACCTTGGATTCTGAGATTTGACTTGGCAGGGAGAATAGACAGGGCAGAAGTGGAATTTCGTGGCCACTGATGGGTACAACAAAAACATACAAAAACCATGCTCTTCTCCGCATTTGACACAAGAGGACACAAGAGGACACGAGTACGAGAAGAGGACGAGAAGAACATTGCGTTGAAGATTGAATCGTTTCGTTTCTCCGTGTGGACTCATTCGGAGTCACCGTTGTCTGCGTCATCTGCGGGTCTGAGGTCTACAGCGTCTGTTCGCGTCTTCGCCCCTGTGACTGTGGTGCTCGAAGCAGGGCTTCAGGATGCGCTGGAGGAAGACAAACGTTGGTGGCAGATCTTGGAGGCACAGATGTCCAGATGTAGGTGTGTAAGTATATATACATGTATATATATATATGCTTATATATATGTATATAAAGGTGTATGTATGAACAGATACAATTCCACTAGATCCACAATTAGCATCAAGGGTGAACATGTATATTGGATATAATAAGGGAACTGCGGGGAACCGAGCCCCCTGGGAAGTGGATGAAGTGGTTTATAGTATGTTCTATATGTTCTGTGGTATTCAATTTAATTCTCCAATTCCCTTGTAGTATGACGTTCTACTAAGGCATCTTACTTTTGCATATCCTCACGCAAATCAATCTTAAAAAACAACGTGTGCACATTCAATCCACTTACCAATCAATCCATATCAACAAAAACGTCAAAGGCAAATCCAACTTCAAACGAACGCACATCAAACATCTAAGATAATCGATCTGCTTGTGAGCACAACTCCTTGCTTATAAACTCACCTGCCTGCACGACTTGACCCATCAAATCAACTGCCACAAAACCATGAGGGTCCCTATTTCCCCTAATTCCCCTATCCCAGACATGCACAAATTGGCCCATGTCAAGTCTTGGGGTTGGGCCCAGAAATACGGGAAATAGGGGAAATAGGGACCTTCTCATGGTTTAGCATGAGAGGGCCCCTATTGCCTATGGTTTTTTTGGTCCATGGCAAGAAGATAGATAGATGGACAGACGGACACACGGGCAGACGGGCAGACGGGCACACGGGCAGACAGACAGACTGACAGACAGATAGATAGACGGACAAACAAAACAGGTTTGCATACACACAAACATGGATACTGTATATGTAAACTTCAAAATAGGCCTCGGGGGAGGCAAACGCAATTCTGTTTTCAGGATTTTTTTGTTCGTTGTGCATGCTGTAACAGGATTCTGTTTTTCTTGGAATCATTGTCGCAATTTGAGAAGATTAGGCTGTCAATATCATCATGATGTGCTGTGTTGGACTTGCACCGGATGCTCATGCTCCCGCAGGAGATGCTCACTCATTGCATAACCAACAAGCATGACATGGAAGTCAGAGCGTCGACATCATGTGGTATCATTGCTGCTTACAGAAAGAATCTTACAGACCAAACGAACTGCACAGGCTAAGTCTTCCGAAGCTGTCCACCGGAGCATTTCCACAGCGAACCACCCCAAGAAATACAAACACCTCATGTTCTTGGGGGCTGGATCTTCTTTCACGTGGCGCCTGTGTCCATGATGCGTATGCAGAATGATGGGTTGTAGGGGCATTTTGCGGTCATGGTTTCTCCCGCTTTGCAATCTGTGGTTTTCTTGGGTTACTGATTGTCTTAAACAGTTTACGTTGGAAGACAAACTGCCCGCGCAGGGGGAGACAATCTGTCGGCCAGCATGCAAGGATTTGTTTTGAGGGAACAGGTGTAGCTGCTAAGGATTATGCAAGCCTTCTGACAGGATCGCTGTATTCCGTCACAGTTCTTCAGGGTGTAATCCAAGAGTCAGTTTTATGCTTTCTAGGGTTAGATGTGTTTGCTAAATTCTTTTGTGGAGGCTGGTGGTTGCTCAAAATAGAAGGATTTTGCTGTTCGGGGCAGCCCTGAATGTGAGGTTTGTGACAACGGTGTTAAGGCAGGTATAGAAGAGAAACAGCTGCAGGCATGTTTTCGTGCTTCCAGGGGGCTCGAATTCTCCCCGATCCCATATGTAATTTTATATGTATATATTTATATCATATTCCCACGCGAAACTGTTTCAGCACAAGAGCGTCATTCTATTGATATCGGCACGTGCACGTTGGATTGTAGTATATCCAGCATATGTCAAATTAGATACGGTATACATAATGATGAGTTTCCTGGGTCACCTGCCCGGTCAAATTTTGTTGATCAAGAGGGATTGGCGCCTCAGTAATGTCTGCTGCGGTTGAAAGTTGAGTTCTAGGAATAAAATTGCCTTTTCGATTCGATTCCAGATATTCCAGTAAAACACCAGTGTGCACCATTGAGAAAAGTCTTGCAGTCTCGATTCCCACATTGATTTAGCTCGGACAGGCAGTTGGTTCATCACTGTGCTCGGAGTTATCTGGCAGTGGTGGCTCCTTTGTTGCTGAAACAGTTTTGCAAGGGAAACGTGGAAATCGTTGTTTTTTCCTTGGAAAAACACACACTCCAAAGACAACAGGAATCTGTGCTCAAAGAACGGACATTTCCACATTTGAGACTGGAATTGGCTATATCCAACAGGGGCTCTTGCCAAGAAAACAATTTTTGTTGACAGGGGCAAAAACGAGACTCTGGTAATACCTTGATTGGCTGTGCCTCAAGTTGTTTGGAGGCCAAAACAGCTCCCTGTTCATACTGAGTTCTGGTCGCCGTCCACTGGAAACCCAATTGGCAAGCAGCCAGAGCTTGGACTGCACACAGAGAGGTTTGCTAGTCTATCCCCTGAGTCTATTGACCTATCTTGATCTTTCTTGATCTGTCGTGAGTTGCAATGTCTTGGTCTTTCTCCCAAAACATTTGGCGGGACTTCTGGTCTTTGTCTGGTTGCTCGGTGTGGCCTCCACGTGTGGTCACCTGTACCAGAGCTAAACCGTCCTCGCAACCATGCATCTTGCAATGAATTGCAGCTGTTTGATCATCCGTGCAGCCTCAAACTTCAGGATTTTCAGGTGTGGTCCGATTGCTGAGAAAGTTTTCTTGCTTTGGAGCTGAGTGATGTGGACTGCTAAGGACATAGGAGGCTGATGCATGCTTTGATTCTTGGAGAAGTTGCAGCTTGCCACAGTATTTGGCAAGCACATTGGCAACAAGTGCGACGCTTGTTGGAGGACAAGGCGGGTGGCCCCAAGTCTGGCAGAGCAAAGAGTTGCCCCTTCGAGTTGTTGCCCAAGAGTTCCCAATTGTTGAAAAACGGGTTGTTTTCACAAAGTCCTGCATCGTCTCAGCTGCAGGCCTTTGTATTTTGGAAGGATATTGTTGATACTGCAGATCCAGACCGATCCAGAGGCCACTGCAGGCCATAGCTGAGCTGATTTTGCAAGTCGGATCCATGCAGAGAAATTCATTTGACAATTTTCACTGCGGGTATATCAGTTTCAGTCAATTGTGGCAGTTAAGTTTCACTTGCTTGATGCTTATTTGCAAGACTCCAAAGACTCAAAGACAATTCAATCAGTGTTGTTGGGATGAAGCTAGATGTGATGAAGCACAAAGATGCAAGTGAGTACAAATGGGTGGCTCTCAAACCAGAGGCAGCTGTATGATGCTTTGAATCTTCGGCAATTGGAGAGTCCGGGGTTGGCTCTGGAGCTTCCGGCACAGTGGGTGGAAGGTACCTAGGGTTGGGGGCGAGGCAAGTGAGTCAAGATGGAATCAAGGTCGAATGGGTCGAATGAAGATGGTAAGACCTGGCAACGCTGGACTCTTCAGAGTTATCTTTCTGTTTTCAATTTGATGGCTTGATCATGCTGTGGCAACAGATGGCACAAGCTAGTGCTGGCAGCGCTGCTAAATCATTTCAGACATTTCTGGAGACAATCACTAACTCTGTGGTGAGTCTACTTGCGTTGCTCTTGAAAGCGAATCGTAGGTATGGTTGAATCCCAGAGCAATTCTTCTTCAGCCCTGCGGCGCAATTGCGAATGGGAGCTCTTTTTCCAGCTCTTTGGGCCGCTCCTTGATCCAGAAAAACGTCTGAAGCACACAGATTCTGATCCCATCTACGGCTGTCTCTTGCAATTGAGCCGGCACCCGAGGCTGTCTCTGATAGAGAGAATCATCAACGAATCGGGCCGTGCTGTTTTGCTGGCCTGCTTTGAGGAGCCACAAGCTGCGTTGGAACCTTGGATGCAATTGTTCTGGTAGCATTTACCCACGAAGTAGACAGCTCACCTTTAAATGGCATTTGGAGTTGCAAACATGCAACAACAACAGATGCGACATACTACACAACATTGAGCTATATGATATGTGTGTTTTGCATTGTTTGCATTGTTTTGCTATTTGTGAGTGTGTGTGCTCAATTTTGCAACACTGCAACAAGAGTGCAAGTGAAGAGCAGTTTCAGCCAAAGGCTTCCTTGCTTTGGGTTGGGATCATCTAAGGCCATGTACGAGTGCTTGGCAGGACGGCTGTGAGATCATAGCCATTCGAGATTCTGGGCATGATAGACCAGTTGGAATAGATGTGTTGCAGTGGTTGGTAAGATTTACTCTTATGCTCTTCTCCTAGCAAATGACTTTGATTCTGAGCATGTCTGATCATCTAGGTAGAAACCACTGGGGGCGGGTAGGCCGATAATCTTTTTCCTTTGTGAGAAAGCCATATAGAGGTCAATTGCCGGGTGTAAGCAGATGCTGTCTACAAACTGACTTCTCTCCCAAAGTCTGGATTGCAAGGCTTTTCGATGGCTTTTCGAATACGGAAGGGCATGGAAGGGCACTAACTTCGCATTTTTTTCCATTGTGACGGCGAAGTTAGGCGCCAGATACGATGATGGCTTTCAACAAAAAGAGCAGCAAGAGAACACCTATTTTCAAAAAAGTGGAGCAAACATTCACCCAAGGCCGGCAGCATCTAAACTGAAGCAGCAACATTAAACACTACTAGGAGCAGTTATGTTCTAACCATTTACCCTACTCTCGATCCCTGCTGCTTTCAAACAACTAAACGTGCGCCATATCCTAATCAAGACGAAAAAGAAGCACACCAACAGCAGAATCAACAGCAAGGAGACAAAGATAGGAAGAAACAGGAGGAGAAGGAGAAAAGGGATAAAAAAGGGCAAGAACGAGAAGAAGAAAGGGACAAAAAGAACACACAAGCTAGACTAGAAAGAAGAGCAGCAAAGAGAGAACACGAGTTCAGCTACAGCGAATTCTGCTAGAAAGTTGATCTTGGCAACAGACAGCAGGCATGTTTTTGCAGTACAGTACAGTATGTATGACTAATTATATTTTGAATCTCTTGCACTAGCTTTGCCATTCTGGGCTGACTGGACACATTTCTAGACTTGATGTCAACGAGTTTGATTAGTATTAAAAAATGATCCTTCTCAAAATGCTTTGATATTCTTGTCGTTTTTGTTGCAAACATGATATTATTCTGAAATTTGAACAGCTCAGTTTCTCAGTTTCAAGCCTGTCTGACGCCAGGACGTTGTTTATACTTTCCATCGACCGGTAGGATCGATGGTCTGACAGGTCTGACAAGTTCAACAGACTGCTTCCCTGCGCTTTGTACCGTTAGGGACTATGATGCACTCAAGGCAGATCGCTGAGATTCTTTGACTTTTGGTCCAACTTTGTCTCAGCTTGTCTCATCCGCCTCTGTGTTCTAGGCACAACTTTATCGGAACGAGCGCGTGCAGGACCCCCTGGTTCTACCCCGGTGCCAACTTGAGATGGGTCAAGATGAAGAGCTCAACAGCTCCATGCTCTTTGACCACGTTTTCACCACGTTTTCACACCTCGTAGGACGATGAAGCAGCATTCGTCTTGCGGCGTATTGCTTCTGCCGTGAAGCCACGGCCTCCTGAGGTTGGGCAGAAGAGTCGTTTGAGTCGTTTGAGTCTTGTGGTGTTTCTAGTCGCGTTTTCGGTGTTTTCGGTGTTTGATCAGAAACTTGCCAAGTGTCAGATACACACAAGAAGAGCAACGTGACATTGTAGAGGGTAGGACTTGTCTAGTGCATTCGGTATTTTTGTAGGAATGAATCAGACTCTGGTCATTTGTATCTATATATTTTTTGCCGACACTGTCAGGTGATTTTGGTCACTACGACGCAGCCTACCCTTGTGTGCGGTCGAGAAGGAAGTGTAGACATCCCCCTTCGTGCACCGCATGTTTCCAAGGTGGCTAGTCTGGCAGGAAGCAGCTCCTGTTCCGATCGCGGATTGGAGTCTCTAGCCTTTTTGTAACAGATGCGCAAGACGCAAAACCAGTTTTGAGCAGGCTGCACTTGAAGTGTGCCTTTCTAGTCCCCAGTTGCCTTTTTATCCAGCATTATACAGTATTTTTGGGGTAGCGTTCGTAAACAGGAGACTACATAATGCTGCTGTCAAATCTTGTAAGATTTGTAAGCAGCAACATCCAGTGTCTTGTGCATAGTGGGTGCCTTGCAAAATCACCCCCGAAACGGAAGCATCATGTACCCCCACACAAGGGAGAAGAATAGTTGTACACGCCTGCTGTCCACACCTAGAGTCATGAGCGAAAGACTAAGTCAGGTTCACGCAGTGTTGCAGCTATCTCGGGATGGCGCAAGCTGGAAGTTGACGATTGAGGATCAGCTGAAGCAGTGGATTTGCTGAATGATACGGTCACAGCTAATAGTGTTCATGCATTACATGTACTGTACTCCTGGCAGTCCTGTTGTGGATGCCGCTGTAATCCGCTTGCTGCAGGATAGGTCCTCAAACGGCACCTGGGTGAATGGAACCTCGGGAGCATCGAGATGAAATCTGATCAGCTTGCATTTGGTTCTCCACTCACTTCACTTTCAACAAACTTCATTTCTTAGTACATTTGTTCCATCGTCGTCGCTGAGATCAATTTTGGGCCCAGGAGTGAGATTGAAGGCCAAAGAACAGATGGCTCTGAAAACTTGCGACCAGATTTGCTTTGTGCCTCCTGGAAATGGGGTTGAACAATTGGTCTATGAGGCAAGGTCCATAACGAGTGTGCCAAAAAATGCCATCTGGGTGCTATGAATCGGAGTCCCAGCCGCTGTCCCGTTTCTGCGTAGAAAAAACCAGGTTCTGCCGGCCAACATGCTGCAAAGAACAGCTTGTCGCCCAACAGAAGTCCTGGACCCTGAGCCTCTTCGTGGCTCGTTCCTTGGTTCATGGTGGAGACGGTCTTGCAGAAGAGGAGTTTTCATGAGTTTTCCTCACCTAAAATAAGTGTCACCAGATGTGAGAAACTTGAAACTGACTCAGAGCATCGTTTTCAATCCAGGAGAAGAAGTTTTCCTTTCTCAATTTTGACAACTGAGAAACTTTTAAGGTATGCGAGGAGCCGCAGCCGCGGTCAGGTTTGGACCCTGGAAGGGCTCTACTGAAATCTACTGAACCTTCCAGAAATCTACAGAAATCTGGAGACTCACGCAGTTTCATTGCAAAAAGGTGCAAGTTTTGCAAGCTGTCGAGTGTGAGAAGCCAGCACTCCCCAGGACGAGAATATCTCGACTTGGCTGCAGCCACTCGGCCGTCTTGATTTGAGCTGGGAGACAGCTGACGCGCAGAGAGATAAGAAGCTTTGGGTCTAAAGCTGTGGAGTTGGTGGGACAGTCCTGTGATTTTGACTCTGTATGACTGTATGATTTGACTAATTTTGACTGCAAATTCTCATCGATTTCAATTCTCCTCGCAGTGAATACCGTGGAAATTGAGGTCCGTTGGTGATCCTGAGCTCTTGAGTTACCAGACGAAGCTGATGAGGATTGTGACAACCCCTTCTGACATCAGGAACAAATATGGAGATAACATCAGTGCCTTGTCGCGAGTGTTGACAGATGCAAATGCCCATAAATAATCTATAAATGCCCCAAAGTTTTGGCAAACTCTGTGTTTGAATCGCCGAATGCAGCTGAGCATAGCTGAGCTATTTATTGTTGTTTTGAAAGTATGTTCGAGAGGTCCTCAATTCTGTTGAAGCCCCTCACTGAAATTCTTGCGTTTTGCTGCCTAGGCGGCTTTCTTGCTGATCTCAATGTGAGTGACCAGCACAAGTCATCCTTCAGGCTTGGTAGAAAGACATGTTTCATAAACTGGAGACCAAGTTGGAAAGCGCTATATTTCTTGCCTTGGAGTTTCCTTCCGTGCAGTCTCCTGTGTGTGAGTTTGTAACTGGCATTTGTCGCTTGTCAAAATCCAGAGGCGAGCTCTGCTGAAGCTGCGCCGCGAGACTTGAGAAAAAATTGGGTGATCGGCAGTGGTTGCTGCGCATGCAGACTAAGTTGAAGTTACCAGTTATATGTGCAGATTCTTCGTTTTGTCTTGCCTCAAGTATCACAAGAGGGTATCCATACAGTCTTTTGAGATGAATCAGGTTCGACTGGATTCCACTGGATGCTTGCAAGTCTTTGCAAGTCTTTGCAAGTCTTTGCAGCTTTCTGCATACCTCCCGCACCTTCACAACTGATGTTTGTTCGGTTTGTTGATCATTCTTGCTGCTTCAGATTCAGGGTTGCTTGTTTGCTCTGGAGGGATTTCTGAATTGTGCTTGTGCGAATTCAAGTCCTTTCTTGGGGTCTGCTTAATCTACTGAATTCCTTCCCGTCTCAAGTCTTCTCAAGTTCACATTGCTTGGTGCATCTTGGTGCAATTCGATGCGCAGGTGCTAGAGCTTTACTGTGAGTTTGGCTCTGCCCATACGGCGATGTCAACACCTGCGTCGTGGTCGCCCTACAGCCTGAAACCTCAGTCGAGGACAAAACAGGTCACCAACTCGGTGGTCTTACAGCCTGGTCTGTACAGCAGCTGTGCAAGGGCGTTGGGCCAAGGTGATCTAGTGAGATGCACAAGCCCTCCACTGTCTCGTCGCTTGGTGGGCGTCCCAATCGCACACGTTGTGGGTTTGGTAGTCGAGTTTTTCAGTCACTCGTAGCTTCACAAATCTGTCCAGGTTGGGGCACCAGAGAAGGGAGAGGCCCTTTGCGGCTCAAGTATTTCCTGCATGAAGAAACTCTTCCACCTCTTAGTTACACCTCTTACTTACATCTCTTACTATCTCTTGCTCTACCAATGGTCTTTCTGTGGGTAGGACAACGTTGCAGTGCCCTTGCATTTGTACTACTATGTGCAGACCTCAATTGCATGCAGAGTCTACAGATCTGCCAACTGGATCCCAAACTTGAAGAGTTTCATCTTTCGTATGCGATGTATGCGAGAGATTCAGCAGCATTGTATGTCCGTCTGCGAGTCTGCGCAATTCTTCCCATTCTTTCCATGAAGGTTTTCAATGATGGCTGGAAGCGTTCTGACTCTATCGACTTCACTTTCCAACCAGTTCGGTACTGAGAGTCTCACAGGCTAGTGTCACCCTGAAGTCCTGATAGTGTTTTTCGACCATTTCACGGCTGAAGTTCGCTTAAAATCTCCGCATTCTGCGGGAAGCATCTCAGATACTGTCAAATGATTTCAACTATACAATATGGTAATATGGTCGAACGATGGTGGATTGGGTGTTTCCAACATGTCCTGTAAAGGATCTCAGATGCTTTGAGCTCGGCATATTTTCGCATGCTATAGCTATATCCAATCAATGCAATGGTTCACTGGGCAGAAAGCTGTTTGCGTGTTATGAAAAAGTGACCTGGAAGCGGTAGAGGACTGCCCTGTGAGCAATGTGAGGATGTGATTGTCCCGCTCAACGAGTCACAGCAAGATGCTCAGCAAGCCTAGTCTCTGATGTCTCTGATGCTCAGCAGATAGACGTCACCGGCATCTCAGGCCGATTGTTCAGCGAGTACTCCCAGGGCTGATCCGCTTTCCTATGTGGGACTGCTCAGAGGATATGACAAAAGTCAGCAGAACTTTCGACTCTCTTGATGTTTCTCAGTCTTGAAAGTCAGATTGAGAGTGGAGAGAACAAGCAGGAAGCCAGTACGTCATAGAACTTCTGATTATGTTTGTTTGCTTTGCCAGCCAAGGCACATGCAAACATATCCCAGCATTCACACGCTTTGTAGGCAACATGTAGAAAAAAGGCATCTAGGCTCTAGATATTGATTTTTAGTCTCCAGTCGATTTTGTGAGTGGCATACACAATACATCTGTTTATACAATAATACTGTCAAGTTAGGATTAATAATCCCCGCGGTATTAATCAACCCCCTCTGCCCAATTTTTTTTTGTAATTTAAAAAAAGGTGGTCCCCCAGGATTAATAAACCGTTTGGCTGGGACATGATTAATCAACCTCCTTTGCTGAAATCATTTTTTTTTATCCAACAATTTTTATTTCCAATTCTATTTATTTCCAATTGTTTTTTACCTTTTTTTTTTTTAATCATCATTGTTATACTTAAGGTTTAAGTTGATCATTGAAAATTTCAAAAAACAACTATTCCCCAAATGATCGATTTCTAATTAAAATCTTTATAAAAATCATCAGTTTGGATAGCTCCCAAAGGGTACCCCCCATGAGCCCATGTCCCCCATTAATAATAACCACGGTTTGCCCCTGATTAATCAACCACCTTTCTGATCCATGAGATTTTAACAAATCCAATGGAATTCTATTAAGATCTAATTGACGTAAGCCATATCCAAAGTTTTATGGTTCAGAGTTGCTTATTATTAAGGGGTGTTTAAGAAAATTACCTACAAGGTAGAGTTCTGACCTTCTGGGGGGGGGAGGGTTGATTAATCCGATGTTGGCATTATATACAATGTAATGATGTAATGCTCAGTATATGGAGAATGCTTGGGAGCTAAGGATGGCTGTCGGGTCGTCTGGGCCCTGTACATTCAAATCCTGCATAGCGCTTTTTGAAGTACAGACAGGCTCCATTTTGTGTACATGTAAAAATTGTAAAATGCACTATCGGACCGAGTCTCTTGACTCTTGATTGATGCATTTCAGGATCACGGATGGGATTGAATTTCTATTTGTCTCAGCGAAGCTCCCAGGCCTCCATTGCACTTAGCTGAAGTGGAGTTGGTTGTCAGAGCCCGAGTGAACGTATGGATCATATAGCTGGCTGCAATACTGTGTGAAGCCCTCTCCAAGCAGCAATATTGCAATGCTATGCAATGCTTCATTCCAACTTATTCAAACTTATTCACATTTTATTGCACGCATCTATGATGTCTGGATTTTGTTGAACACAGCTTGCGGTGTCACCAAGGACCCTCCTCCTGCTTCCTATTTGCAAAGCGCCCTGCTCCGCTCCAGTGGAGCAAAGCTTTACAGCCGTGCACACAGACTGAGCGAACAATTGGACTCAAGAGGCATGTGGGAACCGCAGCAAACTCATGCAATGCTCATCTTCTCCAAATGGCCGCCGAAGAGCTCAAGGTAGCTTCATAGTTTTCCTTAAGTCACACTTCTTGTTTCTTTCTTTCCCTCTCTCTCTCTATTCCTTTTTTTGATGACCACACTTGCATGACTAGTACAGAAGTCTCCCTTGGTTGCCAAGGTGCCGCAAGAAATGGCACGCTGAGATGCCGTTTGCAGGCAACTTCGGGGCTTCAGGTGGGGCACTGCACAGAATTCTATTGCTGCGATTTACTGCGTAAGCTGCTCCGTAGCCATTTGAAGAGCTGAGGGCAAGCATAGCATATTGGTCTGCAGAGTCTGCATTCCAGGTGCAGGTTGATGCATCCCTGACGCGTGGTCCTTTTGCGTCCATGCCTGAGCAAATGGACCTTTTCCACACTGGACAACTCACAGTAGGATCATCTCTTCTTTGTCTCCCAGTGTTTGTGGTTCTGGCTGTGCAACGTCTTTGGAAGCTTTTGTCGAAGCTTTGCTCCAGGATGTTATCTTACATCCAGCAGATCAAGTGTGAAATGAAGCGGAACGTCTTTTTTTATCCTTTTCTCGCTATCATGCCACAAACTTGCGCACAGGCTTGCACGTTGGAAAGCATGGTTGTCCGTGGAACGCCATTGGCTCAAGACACCGTATACTTGCGCACGTCATTCGTGATTCCGCAAATCTCCTCCACGTCGGCCTTGGTTGCACTCTCGCTCTTCGGTGGTGAGCATCGTTGCAACTGTTGCTGAGCTGGAGCCTCTCGACCTGATGGCTCCACCTTTCAATGCGGACCAAATTGCAGATGCTCAAGCTTTTTGGAAGCTTTGGTGATGAAATGTTTCATTTGGTGAATCTTTTCGAGCATGTAGACAATGTAGAATCTCGAATGGATTCATATTGACCCCAAGTGGTCCACCAGCAGGGAGAACTGACTGCCGGTGCTGCGACAACCTTGTAGAAGTCACTGGTGTCTCGACTGAATGGTATTTATACCTGCAGCTACCTCCCCCACAAGCTCCTTCTGGCTACACCTTTCAATGCGGCCTTTTTTGCTGCCAGATGGCCTCGAGGGCCAAATATGATCGGGATATCGGTCAATGTGCAGAATGTGCAGGCTTGGACGGATTCATATTTGCCCCATTCGGTCCACCAGCAGGAATGAACGGCCTTGTACAAAACGACGGTTTCCAGACTATATAACTGGTATTTATATGCACCCTCGATCCACACATCACACTGCAACGTTACACTCTTCTCAGCCAGGGCACCTTTTCGCTGTGGTACTTCTCAGGTGTGGAGACAAACTTTCACTCAGAAGAGATTGGCGGAACCAAGAAGTTTCCCGTCGATTGGCAAGCCTATGCACACTATTCAGGTTGCCAGTCCTTCACAAAGGGCTTGCTTCTCATCGACAAGTCAGGAGGATCGATGCGACAAATGCTAGAGATCACTTCACAGGACTGTAAGTGGAAAGCGAAAAGGAAACGAAGAGTGGACAGTGGTGCACCTGGTACACAATGAACTCATCTCTCTCCCAGATGGTGGAGAGTACGTCACAGGCTTCGACCTCAGCAGGACCGTGACCAGTCCTCATGGCCACCGCTTTCCCAACCGCGTGCGCTTCAACATGAACACCAAGAATGGCAAGTCAGACATTGCGGTCCTGAGCCTCAGTTGCAGGCCAAACCACAACATCAATGTCCAAATCTCCATCAAACATAAGAGTGACCAACAATTCGGGGATGGTGAATTGAAGGTCGCCCGCAAGTCGCTATCTACGCTGCAGATGTCAACCGACTCTGAATTCAGTGTGGATAGCAAGTGGCAAGAGCTTGGAGGAAGTGAACAAGCAGCTCTGTACCTTCAGCTAGTTGATGAAAATCGAGCATCGGTTGCCTTGTTACAAACCCATAGCTGCGGTGATGCTGAAAAAGAGTGGGCCAAGCAGACTTGCTCCAAGCACTTGGGAGAGGAGCATGGCACAGAGGACGCACATTTTCTTGAAGATTGCATTTTTGACCTTTGCCATGGCGCTGGCGAGACGCAAGCAGAACTTGCTCGCCACGACCAAGGCCAACTAGAGAGATTCTTTGTATTAAAACTGAATTCCTTGCGGCGCAAAAGCCCTCGGTGAAAAAAGACGTTGTAGTTTCTCAACAGATGTGGCAAGACACGTCCAAAGCTGACTGGGTGCTGAGGTCAGTTCAAGTTACAAGTGTTATTCCACGTTATCGTGGGGATTCCGTGGCCTGTACCGTACGAGGTGGGCTCCTCTGAGTGGCGCAGAGGATTGGCCCCGTGTGTTGTGTTATGCGAGCTCCTCATCTGTTGGAGACCCAGACTTGGCCCAAAGTGATGCAAAGGAGCAAAGTGCAGACATGGAACAAAGATGAGCAAAGTGATGTTTTGATTTTTGATGAAGCAAATGCAAACTGTTTGCAAACTGTTTTAGTTTTCGTCACCTTGAGATGTCCACAGCCATTTTGGTGGCACCTTCTCTGAGGTCACTAATGTGATTGCCACCTATGGCACGTTGACAACTTAGACTGATTTGATAAGGCGTCCGATGGATATCATGAATGAACAGTAATAAAGAGTAATGAGCAGTAATCAACCTGATTTACGTTGATTTATGTTGATTTACGTTGATTTACGTTGCAGTGCAGTTTCACTGCATGTACTTTACTCCAGCAAATCCTGAGGTCCTGGATCACAGATGCTCTTGTACAGATTTCCACAGATGCTGGTCAAACATGGCCTGGACACCCAGATTAGAGTCTTTGGAGACAGGGCGAACCTGAGCAATGAAGATAAAACTTGACTTTTGTGGACCAAGCTTCGAAGCAAAGTATTTTTCTAAATATGTATATACACGGACACCTCCACTGTAGATCAAGGTAAATCAAACAAGTTTAATCTCTGAAGGCAGCACCTATCAGCACCTACTTTCATTTCAACCCAGGTCGAGCAGAGAGGATGCTGCAATGGTTACCTTAGCTGGCCTCGACCCTGGTACTATGTAGTACTCGTATCACAAAATGCTTTGTAGAATGCTCCTACGAATGATTCGTCCGAGCGACTTGAAAGTCCTGGACATTCTGAGAGGTGCCTAGGAGCCACGAATTTAAGTTGAGGGGAAGTCGTGAAGATCTTTTGTCCTTAAATTCTCGGAGTGTTGGCCCTTCAATGCACAAGGTCCTGAAACCGTGAAGGTGACGGGGCTATTTCCACAGGCGACTGCAAGGACAAACCTCTTGACAGATATTCTATTGTTTGTGGCAGAACCATTTCCAATTATTTGAAAATGTGAAAAACGCAGCGGTTCTGTGGCGTACTTGCTTTTCGCTCGCAGTCGGGGTCTAGTCTGTGTCCGCAGGTGAGATTCTTTGATGACTTGTTACTTTCTCAGAAATGGTAAGAACTTTGACATCGGATTCCACATTATTTCCTACTACTGCCAGTCAAACAAACAAGCGTGAATGGAGGCTTTGAAACACTTTCATGCTTTTTTCGTTTGGCAGCAGACAAGATGCTTTCGTCATTCGTCCCAGTTTGTCAGAGCGCATTGTTGGTGATCTCCACGATCTTGAAGTCTTCATGAGAACACCATAGTGCTCTGGTGCTTTCACCCGAGGAATCCATTTCCAGTCTCTCAGAATAAGGTCAAACATCTCTGTGACGGGCACTGGATTTGAGTGGTTCCGTGTGGTACTGGCGCCAAGAATTGGAGATTGTTGTTGGGGATGGTGTGGATGATTCTGGTGAAGAGACTGTCAGAGTGCAGCTTTTTTGATTGATTTTTGGTCTCGTTCGAGGCCATTAAGCAAGGGCAAAGCACCAATGCGAGCTTGGAGTGTGTCCTAATCTTGGTGGATCCTGAAACTTGATGGGTGACATGAGAGCAAGATGAGTGCCACTTGGGTTTCGCGTGGAATTTCAGGAGTACTCAGCAAGACTCTCCACACAATCTTGCTTGTATTGACCCGGTAGAAACGCTTCGTCATAATGCTTCCAGTTTCTAGACAGATTTGCTGATTTTACTGATTGAGTTGAGGATATGACATGACACAAAGGTAAACAGACAAAGGCAAACCTTCAGAGCCAAAGCTCTCAGTGCAAAGGTGTGGCTTCCAAGTACATCGAGCGCCTGGCTCCGGGACCTTTGCCATGTGCCTTACATGTTTGATGAGAGATCCTTCAGTGAGTTGTGCTCTGAATCATGTTTTAGATCTGGCACCGACTGCCATTGAACAATGGACCAGATAGGTCAATGATGGTCAATGAATCTGAATAGTATCAGGCACTAGCGAGGTAGGAAGATTACAACTGTGGTGTGTTGATTCACCGAGATCAGGTTGCTAGCGATGTTTCCAGATTCTATTCCCGCTCTTCCATAGAAGTTTTCCGCCATGCCAGGTGCCAGCCAGCATCATCAATGACACTGTAGTCACATGCGCATAGCTCAGGATTCTCAGCGGCTTTCGGTGGTTGTTGCTTTATTTTGAATGTCTGAGCGGCGTGCCCCATGAGTAGCAGATAGAAAACGTACCACAATTTCAACCACGCGAAATCCGTGGTGGTAATGGCCCATACGAACCGATCACTTCCTGTAAAACCATCCTGTGGAACAGACCACGGTCACTACCTTCCAAAGGCTGACAGTCAAAATCTTGCAGTGTGAGGTCTGAAGCTCCAAAAAACCGAAAAAAAGAATGCTGCATGGACACACCTCACAGTGTCTCATAGCGGACAGTGAGTTTGCTTGTCCTGTTCACAGACTTCTCGAGACCTGTTGTCCTAGGTCCTGCAGCCTCTAGCAGCTGCATGCGTCATCGTGGTGCTGCAGGTTTTGAGGCCGACCAGCACGGCCAACGAAACAACGAAGTCTGGCTGAAGTCTGGACTTTCCAAAAACTGAGTGCATTTGCTTCTCTTGGGCGCTTGGTGGCGCAGAATCTGTTTGTGGACACAAGGTGAGCAACATGCAGTTGCTGGGAACTTGGCAGATCCAATGAGCTTGCATCAGACAGACTCCTTCAGACTGTGCTTTGCAAGACTTGAACCGGAACCCTTCTGCTGGGATAGTATGATTATTTTGGAACAGAGATTCAACTTCAGAAGTAAGGCGCTACGGTCTTTCAGATGCTTTGGCTTCCTTGGTCTCGTACTCATGTCAGACATAGCCTGACATAGCACTGACCCAGAGAGCCGCAAACGCCGGTTGCATGCGGAAGAATGGCTGAAGTTGAGCTTGCAGGTTGAGTTGATTGGTGCAACTCAGCCACTTAGCCCACCTGATGTGTTTTATCAATTTGTTGTGCTATTTGGCTATATAATTTATATTGATTTATATTAATTCATCATCATTTCAACTGTCACTTTTTCACTTTTTTCCAGCGAGCTCAAGGCATTGCCGTGTGAGGGCAGCAGCAGCAGCTGTTTGCATGTGGCCATACCTCAGCCACTGGTTCTCCAGGCTTTGGGGGGCGGAACTGGAAAACATGTGAAAAAACATGTTGAATTACGCAAGATGACCATCCAATGATGACGGAAAACGCCCATTGGGCTTAAGCAGTTTGCAATGTTTGCCTAGCTTTGGATTTGTATCACTCAGCCTCTTTTGTGGCACATAGCCCTTTAAGGAAGGCATTAGAATCGTTAGGACAGGCTTTTGAAGATACATTGGCGAATCAGCGGGGCGTTGAAAATGACAGGAGACGCAGACAGTGCCTGAGGAGGGCGGTGTGGTCCAGTTCCAGGCGCGCCACCAAGGATTGCAGGAATCTCATCAGGACGTCAATCGCCACGGATTTCGACTGAAAGCCTTCGTAATTGGACCCCGAAATTAATGTGGTTTGTATCATTTGGCACAAGGATAAACCTTGATGCTGTCAGACCTTGTCAGCACAGCGAGCAGAGAATGCTTCCTGCATTTCTGAGAAGGACATGACGTTGTATTATGTTGTTCAATGATGTTGTTCAATATCTTTTTAAAGCAAAGATCCCAACAAAGCAGGTGGCAGGTGTGGACTCGGCGGCAAACGGTCTGCATCCCGGACACTTTCCTGTACTCTGCTGATCTCTGCTGTTTGTTGTCCAGGGACTTTCGCATCTATTTCAAGACTCTTGGTGCAACGCTAGAACACTCTACATAGACCTTTCCTTCTTCAGTTTCTTAGCATCACTTCCTACACTTCGTTGCCTACTTGCGTTGCGAGTCGCTCAGTACGGAGGAACACAGTGGACAACATTTGAGAGGATTTTTGATCTAAATGGTTTTTTCTCGGTGACCTTGCTGTAAACCTTCCTATGGCAACGGTGACCTAAATTTGGGAAGTGTTAGGCATAGGATTTGACACTTCAGTGACTTCAGTACATTACTTTATTTTCTCAGTCACCTTCTGCAATGGGTTTGCGATTCTTTTGGTGTCTAATGTCTGTCCATCAATTGATGACCTCCTTGGTGAAATTTTCCGTTTTCTCGGCCAAATGCGAACAAACATGTTTGGCATCGGTTGCTTGCATGACTCATGACAGTGGAACTGACACTTGTAATATCTTGTAATTATGGACATGTTGATATGTTGGCAACTGGATGCATGGATCTTACATTATCCACACTGTTTTAGCTGCAGAGATTGAGAGAAGAGGATGTTCATCGGACATTGCCACTTCCGGGTCCTGGATGCTGAGGTCTCATATCTATACAGTGTCGTTTTCGACATGTTGAAGCCAGTCGACTTGGACAGATGTTCACCAAACCGTATTTGACACTGGGCCAGCTGCAGGACAGATCCAAAATTTGATGGCAATGACGCTGATGTTGTTTTCTGCTCTGCGTACGATCAATATCAAGTACGGCAGAGTTGTAGTGATCGCAACTGATGTGATCATGAACTAACATATGTTTTCCATGAATTTTAATGAACGTTTGCCTTTGCTACTTGTATGTAACCGGTACATTGGTCATTTTATATTGAGATAAGCGTGTTTTAATGGCAAAATCTGGCCATTTAATCTTAAGATAAGCCTGATTAAGCCTGTTTCAATGGCAAAGCATGTCCTACTCAGACCTGGAAGGACAACCGAGTCACGTGTGTTGCGCCAGACTGGTCGCAGCCTGAGACACATCGTTCAGCCGTTGACAGAACGACGGAACGACGGAGCGAGCCAAGGAACATATCTCTGGAAGGAGGATTTAGTCACTTGGAAGAAGAAACGTGACTGAATAAACGTGACTCGTGACTGATAAACCGAGTCCATTTCCGTTCCACTGAGCTAAAATGAGCTAAAGTTATATATATATAATATGATAGTTTAGAGTTTAGAGTCTATACTTGTAGTAGTCTATAGTAGTCTATGGTTGAGAAGAGTGGATTTGCTTGGGAATGTTCTCTGCAACTTCCGTGATCAGAGCAGGTGTTAAGACTTGAACTCACAATTTAAATCAATTTTAAAGCATATCTCCCGGTCTTTAGTAGCCGCGTGAGAGATCGCGATTCCTTGTGTTCCAGGACTACTTCCAGAATTTCGAAATTTTCAGTTCCGTCTTAATGAAGACAGTGAGAGACAAGCATGCAATCATTTCCTTCAATTGAGGTGACGATCTTACCTACAGAACGGACGAGGCGAAATTCTTGGAAGTTGGGGAGTCTAATGAGTCTAATGTGTCCGCCAATATTTTGAATCCTGCAGAGTCCCTGTAGAGTTTTTCAAGAAGTCCGGGAGGTCTGGCAGTGGCTGGTCGACTTTGCCATGGACAGCAAGTCAGAGAGCTGGCTACCATCAGCCCAGGCAGTGACACGCCACATTGGAGCTGATGGATTTTGCCCCTGTTGGATTCTTGAACTGGACCAATGAGTGACTACTGACTACCTGATACTACCGGTCTTATGTCCGAAATCCATCAAAATCCAATATCTGCGTGATTTGCAGGATGAAGAGTGTTGGAATGTTTCGGACATGCCTTGAGTGCAGCACACTTCAGGTGAACGTGACGCGAATCGTACCCGTCAATCCAGCTCCAAGTAGCATCCTGAGACGATAAAGTCCGATAAAGCTTGTATCTAGTGAAGATGCGAGAGGAATTGGAATCAACACTCAGTAGACTTGGTGATATCCATTGATATCCATGAATATGTTGCAGTGTCTGGTCCAGTTCTGCAGAACTGGTGGTTTTTCAAGTCACTTCGGTGATGGTCGGTGTCTCAGGTGAAGTGAATCCTTTGCCTCCGGCGAAGAATGTTACTGCGGAGGCAAGGTGCAAAGCGTTAAGTCGCCTCCCAGCTCATGCCATATTTGTGCACCGCTTTCAGAGTCCGGTTGAGATGCCACAAGGTGACGCCAAACTCAACCTGCGCGCGCCTTAGTTCGAGCCAAGCCTCGAATATCAGATGCCGCATGAAGAGATAACTGAGGGCGCCTTCTCAATCAGATGTTTGTCATGCTTTGCCAAGGTTGGTGGTATAACCATTCTTCCAAGGCACTTGCAGCCGCTGCTTTCTTGATCCTTCGGATCCTGAAAATCATTCCTGAAATTCAGTGTGCTTTGATTCCGCTGCTGCGTGGAAGATCTTGGAGCATCTTGAAGCATTTCGGAAGTCGAATTCAGGATGTGCAGATTGCAACCGGTCCTCTTCACCAAGCAGTGGAATCCCTTGTCCCTGCTCTTCTCATTGGAGCTCCATACTTAGATATTGCTCAGTCTGGCTCAGTTTAGCTTAGCTGAGTTGTCTGAGCCTGGCCCAACGGCCCAACGTTTCTGCAACTTGCGTGCTGAAGCTTCTATTCACAAGGACGGAACAATGCTTTGCAATGCCAGCACCGGTGACGGTGGAGGTGCATTCAATTATGCCATGACACAATTCTTCATATTGGGCTTGTAGGTAAGCTATGGCAAGTTTCAATGTAGATTTTGGCTCTTGCTGGTGTTAGGCACGCAAAGTATGCCAGATCCAGATGCACAGATAGATGCAAAAATATTCAGAATTACTAGTTACTAGGGTGCGGGTTGCTGTGGCCATGTTGTCTTTTGAGAGGTTTGCAGCCTTGGTCGGGCATGGGGACTACACCAGGCCGAGATGTTTTGCACATTCTTGAGCTTTCAAAGAATGCCATGTATTTCTCTGAACTTGTGGCTTGAATCAATACTAGTTAGTTATATATATATCATATATGCTATAGTTCTCATATATTCTCTTATGGAACAACCAAACCATGTCAACGGTTTTGCTGGATGACAACCGCTCTGGAGCACCACGAATTCAGCGTCAGGCACTCCAGCGTACAACACTTCCAAGAATATGATTTCTGGTCTCGACCTGATGGTTCCTACGAACAAGTCAGACCGGTGCTGCACTTGGTTTTGGTCTTGTCCAAAACACTCGACCAGATAAGGGTTGGAAATTGGTATCCACAGAGAAGTACGACCAGGTCATTGTCCACAAGGTGGTGTTGCATGGTATGAGAAAGCTGATACGGAAGTGCGATGTATTTATTTCCTTTTTAAAGCTCCAAAAAGAGACCCTTGCACAGAATCTGAACCTCAAGGTCCATGCTGCGTCTTCAAGGGAAATCGCTCTGGGGGACCATGGCGTGGCGCTTAAAGCTGCTTGGGAACACTGTGCCGGAAAATTCTCTCTTCGAGCCATCGAACTTGGTGCATCTTGGTGCTATGCAACCTTTCTTGACTTGGACTGATCAGGCGTCGGCTGGTGCAACAGTGAAGCAAGGTTCGCTGATCTCTGCAAGTGTCATTGCACACTGTGGCATGGCGATATGAACAATAGTGGAATGGCGAAGAATGACGCAGGTCTATTCAATGGAAGTTTTTTATTTATCATTTTGTACCATACCCAACTCAAGCACGACTCAAAAGGAAACCCTGTAAAACCCGCAAAATATTGTCTAAAGTTGGCGTGCAGCAAAGAGAGTGAGCCAAAGGCACTTTGACGCCAACATTTGCCGTCGTCTTGAGCTCTGCAAGCTCTTGTTTGAGAGCAATGATGAACACAATAAACACATTGAGTGTTGTTCTCATAGAATCCTTCCCATTCAGTTCATTCACTGCTGGAACAGAGGATCCCATGGCTCGGTCATGGTGCCATGGTGCCAAGGTGCCAAGCCTCTTAGAAGCTTCAGCATTGCCAGAGGTACGACACCAGCACTCCCTTCGCCGCAGAGAAAATGTCGAATCATCTGGAAAGATTAGGTTTGTAGCTCTCGTTGACTTTGATATAAGCTGAATGGGAAAAAATATGATAATCATGGAACATTGTTGAAAATCAAGCTTGATCCGATCTCAATGTACCATGGTTCTGCATGTGCCAAAAAGTCCGGCGCAAGACGCCTTGGCCTCGCCGTTCCAGGCAGTGATCTTGGTCGGGTACGGCTTCCTTGGAAAAATTTGGCTAGGAGCTTGGACCGACGTGATATTCGGTGGACATGCTGTTTTTTTTTTAATTAAATGATGCTTTTCATGAGATTGGAGGCTGATTCATCCATTGGTTGGCTGTGAGTCGATTCATATCAAGTCCACCCCAAATGCTCATAGGCAGAACAGCATGGACCCCGTATTTCTGTGTCTTTGTGCTTTCAGAAAAGGCTCGACTCAAAGATTCTTGCAGCCACGTTGCTGCTTCGAGTAGAGGAAAATAATGAAATTGGAACACACTATTCTAGAATATTTTAGAACATTTTAGAGCTGTAGCATGCTGTAGCTAGAGTTGTGATGTGCCCCCACTATCAGGCTGTGTCGGTGGTCACCAGCCAACTCTGGGGTCGTGCCTGTTGCCTACATGGGCCGGGTCGTCAACGACACTGCCCTCGCCTCAGCTTGAGGTTGCCTTCCTTCACATCTGCATTTTCCTATGGTTTTTTATTGGTTTCGATTTTTTATGGTTTTTCCAAAATCCTTGTGATCACGAGCCTCATGAAGCACTCATTGGATACTCAACTGGATGCTTCTCGATGCCAGGCTTTGAGCTGCCCAGTGGCGCTGGAGATCCATGGAGAGACCATTGTGTCTCTGACCAGGTGAGGTGTCCCAGGTTACCCAGGTTCCATGGAATCTCCTGGAATCTCATGGATCCTTTAGCCAATTCCTAACAGAAGTCATTATGAAATCTGACGCTTCGGGCAGGTGTACCGAGTGGGTCATCTTTTTGCCTTGAAAGACTTACTTTGTCACTGTCGATGATAAAAGCTGAGGTGGGAGTTGCAGGCAACTGTGGAGTCTCCGCTCACAATGACAGTTCCCATGGTTTCAAACTCAGAGCGTGTGACGGTGTAACTTCACTGGCTTGACCCGTGGTCAATTTCATCTAGGATTTCAATGTCCGGTCATTCCTTCTGTCTGATCGAATGCTCCAAGGTGGTTGAAATCGTGCCCGAGCTTCCTGTGCTTTATCACTCTGACTGGCCTCCTGCAGAGTCAGGTGTGGCCATGACAGTTTTGGGAACCTTAAAGCCGGATGTTGAGTTCCACAAGTGTCAGATTGGGAGCTTCCTCAGGGGTGCCTACAGGGTTTCGCTGACCCGATGTAAGCCAGTTTGACTCATTTGCCTTCAGCACCTATGCAAGGTGATTGCTTGGAGCAGATCGACACTTATCAATTTCGTTTTGGCTGCAAGCTCAGCCCTTCGCGGGGCAACAAACCCCATGTCCGTGTGTTCGCCGTGCTTTTCACTTCCTTTTGGTATTTCACCTTGTGCAGTGTGAACTTTGATCGACAGTGCGGCATGAAATCTCAAAGACAGGCATCAAATTTGCTGCACAGCTATAGCTATGTACACCTTGTGCAGCTAGACATGAGGCCCCTGCTTCGGACTACCAGTCACCTGTGTCAGGGACCTGAGATTTGTTAGCGGAAAGCCTGCAGCCTGCATAGGATAACCTGTGCTAAGTCAGGCTCTCCCTAAATTAGTTGCAACACATCCAGTGCATTGTCAAAGTATATATCTACTTTACATTACTTTACTTTATTTTGTTCCTGATATATATATATAATATTTCTGTTTTTCAAAGGTTCTTCAAAGGTCTTGCATATCTCATGACATATTTCTTTATCTGAGGCCATGAGCAAATGTCGACTGCTGCCTTTGTCAGCTCCCTAAGATGCTTTGTTGTTTTCCTTTGCGAGATTGGATCTGTCAGCACAGTGTCGACCCGAAGGTTGTCACTTTGGTTTCACTCAAATTCTTAAAGTGTTCACCTGCTTTGGCAGTACAGGTTCAGGCGTTGACTTTGAGTCTTTGAGTACTTTTGCAGAACACGCCGAAAGAATATGCCCGGCAGCAATGGAGGATGTGGTTTATATATGTTTATATGAACATGCAGATATACATCAGCCTAAAATTACAGCACCTTGTTCCAATCTGCAAACATTGGAGCTGTCAGGATGGGCTCTGACAACCAGAGCATCTCTGAAGGCCAGATTTGGTTGGGTTGTGACTTGTAGTGTTTATATGATAATTTATATAATTGCATGATATTATATATGAGAATTTATGAGATTTTATGAGAATCAGAAGGGCTTACAATGGTTGTCGTGTTTTGTGTTGTTAGGGTCTGTGTGTGTGTCCTTTGGAAAGATCGCCACCCAAACGGGCATGCTACGCATACATTCAAATCGATCAAAACGCAGAGGCAGTTTCTGCCTACAGATGTCCAAAGTGAGAGGGCTTTCTAGTAAAGGAACAGCAGCAACAACCTTTGGAATCCAGTACATATGATATACGATGATATATTCTAGGTATGTATAATTATAAATATATGTAAACTTTGACGTTTGTGCTGCTCTTGTCAACAGGACGCAGCAAAGCCTTGCGAGATGACTTGCAGGATGTTTCCTGGACAGCTGCAGAGGCCGCAGCTAACGTGACAAGAATGCTTGTAAGTTCTGCGAAAACATACCGGAAATGACACATGAAAGGAATTCAAAAACGCCAAGTACCTGAGTGCTTGAATCTTGGCTTCGTTCCTTTAGACTCGACGGTGATGGCAGGTTCTGAGCGATACCTTGCATGGAGACGTTCTTTGCGATGTGGACAATTCCATTCGTTCTGTTCTTGGATGGGTCACCTGAAATTGAAGACATGCTTTGCCGCCATGCGTGTCTTCTGTCTATATAGTAGATTTTCTTGAACAAGGTCGAGCACCACAGTCAATGTCTGGGTCTGGCCCACAGATGGCTACGTACGGTTGCTTGAAGCTTTTGATGCCTTGCCTCTTTGAGTCAAACAAGATTCGTAAAATATTTCGTTATCACAAGTTCAAATAGTTCAAAGAGTTCAAATAGTTCAAAGAGTTCAAATAGTTCAAAGAGTTCAAATAGTTCAAAGAGTTCAATCTTGTGTCGTTTTGGAATGCAAGGAATGCAACACGGCCATATTTGGTGGTCGCTATCTGTGGGGACAGCTCGGATCTCGGCAAAGTGGAGTTTAATGGATGGGTCAAGCAGTTAGATTATATATATTATAGAGATATATTAGATTCATTCACAGAAAAATATTGAATTGGACAAGATATCTAGATATATCTAGTGAATATCTAGTGTAGTGAATGAATCTAGTGAAGTGGAAACTTTTGGAAACTTTCACTTCCGATCGCTATTCCTGGGGCCTTTCGATTCCGAGAGCCAAGAGGTCAAGGCCAACGGCCTCCTCCGCGAACGGCTTCCAAGCTCTTGTGGGGCCCTTGATATCCCTGGAGCGAAAGCAGATTTTGGCGCCCAAGAATCGATTCTTTTTCTCAAGTGATTTCATTTGTGTGTCCATGTCAGGCCAGAGTCTATTCTACGATATGTGACGTCTGTCACCATCTGTCACCATCTGTCACCATCTGTCTGAAAGGACAGCCTTTGCCTTTTCAATGACCTGATAGCCTGTCTAAAGGGAGAGGGAATGCTGAGGTGGACATCTCCCTGGGAACCCCAAGCTTCACAGGACCGATGTTTGAAGATGTCTTGGTTTTTGCTCAGATTTTGTTTTATTCAAAATTTGAGGGTTTGATGACTTGGACAATTTCAAACATTCAATGCAAGATGCAAGTCAATGCATTTATTTTGAGGCTTTTGGCTTTTGGCTTTTAGAATTGTGCAGCATTGCCATTATTCACAAGTGCAGCCAGTGCAGCTTTGGTCTATGAATTGTGAGTGTTTGTGGTTTCTGGCAGCGAGATCAGCTTGCGAGTGATGGTATTTGTGGGCTCGGGCAGGAGACCCCAGACACCGTATCCATAAGGATGGCGTCCACGGAGGAGGTGCCAAACAGCAGCTTCAGACTTCAACGAGAGTCTTTTTGTATTCTCTACGTATTTTTGAAGAACTTTTCAGCACTTTTGCCAGTCTTAGTTTGGAATTTTCTGAGGTCAGAGCGCTGAAAGTTGTTCAGGACATTCTGTGAAACGCCGGTCTCTGTGGACCAATCAAATTATCTACTGAGTCTTTAATTCAACCTTTTGGAATGGCAATTGTTCACCCTCGCAGGCAATAGGAGCAGTAGCGGGTGATGATGTGAATGTAGATTGCGAGGAAATGTACCCCCAGTACACAAGTGGACCCCTTCATGCTTCATAGATATGTTTTGACAGCTCTTGATTGGCATCTAATCCGAATGCTACTTTGCCAGAGCATAGAATGACTCCGTAGCACTGGAGCCTTGATGCAGTCACCATCGGCCTTGCAAAAAAGGGCTCTGGTATGGCCCTGGTCAGACAGTCTTTAGACCTCGTGAATTGTGCTGTGTGGAAGCTGGGAGCCTGTATTCTTTTGTGAGGACGGGGAGATGCCAGAGGCGTGTCCCCGCTGACAAAGTTTGATCCATTTTGGCCACAGCGCAACATTTGGTAGAGAAAGTAACATAGGCATGTGTTTTTCATGGATTTGTATATACAGTATATAAACATTATAAAATCATTATAAAGAGACTTGTATATACAGTATATAGACATTTTAAAATCATATCACCACTTGCAGACCTTGTTGAAGGTTTGGTTGGAAGACCCAACAGTGGTGAAGGGTGGCAATCACTACGGGAGCCTCACCTTCCACATGACCGCAAGACACTAAGACTCTCGTCGTCACAGCGCCTTTGCACGCGCCTTCAGAAGAGTTTCTGTGAGACGAGCATGCAAAGATTTTGACTACTGATAGGTTCGGGTGCAAAACGCATCTACCAGTAGCAATCAGGCCACCTCAAAGGGGAAACACAGCATACCAGTGGTTAAACTTTATTCAAGTAATCTGGGTTGCCCTTCGGTGCCCTCAGTCCCGGACATACCAAGACAGATTCACATAAGAGTCATGTAGACAAATTGAACGTGCAAGATCCAGTGTTTCACTCAAGTGTTCTCAAGTGATGGTGATAGTGATTCTTCAAGTTCTCAATTCCAAGGCAATAAGCACTCTCGGGCATGGATTTTTCCTTGAATACCTCATCGGAACTACGTGAATTTGGAAACTATTAGTGCCGCGCAGGTTGGTGCTGCCTTGACCCCCCTGGTGCGCCAGCCCGCTGTCTGCCGCCTTACAAGTCTGAGACTTGGGCAGGAGAAACTTTGTAGAGGCAAGAATGACCCACAAGGAACCATGGAAAGATCAGAAAGCTTGATTTCCGTTGATTTTGGACTGACAGACTCCCTACCAGGCAGCTGTTTACACGGTGTGAGCTACGTGTTCTAGATCAATCCGCATTGCGGTGTCATCCGTTCATATACAATTGCACCATGATACACCTGGTTCAGCAAGCAACATGTCCCACAAAGCAGAAGCGCTTGTCGTTACATTATCTGTCAAAATTGAGGCGACCTCAACGCAACAGACGAAGGGACTGAGGAAACTGCTTGGATTGCCCAGATATTTTTCCGAGGGATTGCTTGGACAGTCCATTGCCCAATGCCAAGATTGCCGGCGCTCGATGACAAGCCTGCCATAGCCTGCCATAGTTGTTCCCTCAAGGTGGATTTGGAGTTGACTCACATAGACCGCGGCCTTGTACCGGTGGGGATGCACAGGACATTGGTGCCATGGTGCAACGGTGCAACATGGTGCAAGTGACGTTGAAGTCGAGTGGTTTCACCTTGGGCTCAGGTGGTGTCCTCCATATCTGGTGTCATGGACTATGATGGCCTGGTGCGATGCGAGTTCCGCATCCCAAGGCTGTGGAAGCCTGAGGTATTTTTCGGTATTTTGACATGGGTATGGATCAATACCTATGAAAATACCATTTTTAATGGGATGAACATCCATTTACCAGCTATTTTGATGTGAACTACAGGGGTACTATTGGTTTTGACACACTGCCATGTCTCTCAAGATATTCTTCCTGGCCAAAGGACATGCCTTTTCGGTGGAGATCAAGTCAATTTCCGCAACGTCTGTTGGAACCAAGGTCAGCTTGGGCTTTGCTGTACTCAAATCGCAGCGCAGTGATTCGTGAAAGTCGGGAAGCCAAGAATCTGTTTGTATCCTGCAGCTCCTGATGTCAAGAAACACAAAACTACCTGAAGGGAGTGAGTGTGTTCCCCCAGCAGTTTTGCGTTGAAACGGCAAAAAATGCTGCAAGTTAATTTGGAAAGGTCAGCCGGCAGTCCAGTCCTAGCAATGAGCAGTGGTTCATGATCATCACTTCACCAAACCTCTGTTTCTTGCAATCGACAGGTCCATCTGTGTATATCGATCCTTCATTGGAGGCTGCATGTTGTGAGCAGAGCATCATGAGTTCTGCTGAGAATGACGATGAGGATGACGAGGATGATGAGGATGATGAGGATGATGAGGATGATGAGAATGATGAGGATGATGAGGATGATGAGGATGATGAGGGTGGTGAGGATGATGAGGATGATGAGGATGAGGAAGATGAGGAGGATGAGGAGGATGAGGATGAGGAGGATGAGGATGAGGATGATGATGATGATGATGATGATGATGATGAGGAGTAGGAGGAGGAGGAGGAGCAGGAGCAGGGGCGGGAGGACAAAGACAATGATGACGCTAGCAAATTTTGAGAACAGAGATGCTTTCGGTGCAAATGGTTTTCAGAATGTGGTGGTACTACAGTTGTTGTCATTTGTTATCGTTTGTTATCATTTCTTGCTTCATGAAGAGTGCGACAAGTTCTTTGACTCAGAGTATCATCTCATCTTGGTCAAGTCAAGAAACCAGGACTTATTTTATGACCAGCTCCTTGCAGGTGTCCCCTGCATCCTACCAACTTCAAGTCAGAGTGGCAGTGGGCAATTACCGCACTGCCGTGAACACAGTGTGAGATGTGTGAGTACAACTCGCATCATTTTGCATCATGCTGCACGTCCTTGCATTCCTTGCTTGCATTCCTTGCTTGCATTTATACCTAGTCAGGCACTTCATTTCCTTTCCTATCCTGTCGGCTTAATTCTAAGATGGTTAGTTCCAGAACTTTACTTCAAGACTTCAAGGCTTCAAGGGAAAAAGGAGATATGCAGTAGATTTTGATGTTGCAAACCACAGCCTCTCACATTAGGGTCGCCAGTTTCATGAATTGCGGCTGCAAGCTGCAAGGCTTGGACTTCCATACCTCCTTTCAAATGGACGTTTGGCCAGCCTGAATACGGTGCGGCTGTCGCATTTCCAGAATTTTCAAGTCATTACAGGTTTGCCCAACAGATTTCCGTTGTCCGCAACAGTTTTTTACACGCCTTGTGTTCTGTCCGTGCAGCCCTCTTACAACCTTCCAACATTTTCCAAGATCTTCCAACATCTTCCAACATCTTCCAACATTTTCCCACATCTTCCAACATCTTCCAACGTTCCAACAAAACGTCCTCCTCGCCAGTTGGTGATGGTCCTCCACAGCCTGTAGTGGAGGCAAAGAGATCTTTGTGCTATCACTACGTTGTTTGCATCCAGCAAGGCAGGATTACGAATTTATTCAAAAGTATACGAAGGTAATTCAGGGCATGTCATGATTGCAAAGAGAGAGATGTCTACACTGGGTGCTCCGAGTCTCATGACTTGGGCCATGGCTCTTGGAATTCAATTTGCGACCTTTTACACGTGCAACTGCAATTTGGGTGCGAGACTTTCGTAGTCTTCGGGTACCTCAGCACTGGCTCGACTTTTTGGATCCGTGGACATTTGTTGACAGCGAACAAGAAACACAGGGTCCAGTCTTCGTAAAAGCAGTATGGACTTGAAGCTACTTAAAGCTACTCTGAGGCTACTCTGAAGCTAGTTGAAGCTTGTTGGAGCTACTCTGAAGCTTCTTGAAGCGACCAGCCCAAGCTGATTTCAGGGGTTTCCCCAGCCTTTTTAACGAGGTCTTCTGACGCTGATGGGTAGCTCTCATGGCGCCCTTTGCAGCTCCACCAGCTCCTCCTCTTGCTGCCTGCAGGCACGGATTTTCTTTATACCTGGATGGAGCAAAGACTGTGCATAACACTGAATGATTAGTTAATGATTAGTTAATGCTCATGAGGATCTATTTCGATCATATTGATGACATTTGAGATTAAATGTTTGTTATATGTTGTTATATATTACTTTTGCTCATATGATTTCTCCTTTGCGAATATGAATTTGCACTAGAGGATCATATCCTTTTCCAGAGAACATTGTCGAGGCGCGTGGCCCTTCCCTGGATGACACAGACGGGCCGAACCGCGTGGACCCTGTGCGGGACTGGCTCTCCGAAACGGTTTCAAATGACAAATGCAAAGGACACCTTTCAAGAAAGGAAGCAACCTAAGGCAAAGTGCAACTATGTCTTGCATCAGACACAAACATCACAAACTCAGACCTAATTATATAGACAGAATCGACAAATAGTTGGAGTTTGCTTGGCTTTGTCGTCACCGAATGATAGGGCACTTTCGGAAAGAGTGGAAAATGACGGTACTGCTTTTGTCAGGCCTTATCGTGAACTTGTCCCTTGTCGAAGTGGGTTGAGGAAATGTTGAGTACCCGTCCAGAATCCTTTAGATTCCCTGGAGGTTACTAGGTTGTTTGTGCATTTTGTGCTGATGAAAAGTGACAGGAGCTGACACCAGATGAGCCTTGCTGCTGCCTGGCATGGGCTTTAGCCAAAGAGAGCGCAGACTCTGTTCGTCCTCAGCAGCTTAGTCGTTTGCATGCAGAGATTCAGAAACAGGCACTGAGTTTGAAGCCAAACGGATCAAGGTAGGATTCCGAAGTGAACTACCTGGCATCAAGACCGACTAGATGTAAAAAGACATGAGCAAGACTGTGTACCTGCAATATCCGGCAATTCTCATAAGACTGCAGTGGAACAGGTCCACATCAAAGGAAGCTCTTTGATGTCTATCCTTGGCTGCCTGATATGATTTGTGATTTTAGAATTGTTGCTTCAACTTCTTTCAAAACATGTCCTTCTCATTCCTGTTTGATTCCATTTGACTCTATCTGATTTTAGATCTTCCTTTGACAGGCGCGCTTCTTTGAAGCCAGTGCATTAGTGTGGGATGCTACGAGTGGTGTTTTGGTCGGAAGAACGGCTAGCCGTGGCATGACTTCAGCAGATTTGATGTCACGTACCTCGGAAGCAGTTCAGGACAAAACTTGTCTAAGCACAACATCGTGAGGCTTTTGAAAAGGGGCACTGCATTTCATTTGAGTAGAGCTTCGAGCGAGTTTTGAACATGTATTCTTGCTGAAGGCTGCTTGAAAGGTGCACAGTTTCCGCTCTCTTCACTCTTGGACTCTTGAATATTCTTATTCCCCAAGACCTTCAGCTACCCACTCCAAAACTCCAAAAGCTCCATGGTTTTGATACGTTTTGAATCCAACATTTCAAACCGATTCAAACCTTTCATGCTCTGATGCTCTGTTTGTTGCAAGGCATGGGTCAATTGTTGTGCCGTTGGGCACTTTCACAGTCCCCGCCTATGGCGCTTTATGTGGGTGTGGATGTAGGGGCCTTGTCCTTGGTTTCCATATCGAACCTGGGTTGCACCATGCTGCACCAGATGAGTCTCTGGAGTCATCAGAATGCAAAATTCAGGGCATGGAGATCCTGCCATTTTCTTGTTTTGAAAAGGTTTCATGACTCTGTTCTTCAAGCCATTTTAAGCCATTTTAAGCCATTGTACATGATTTCCGTGATTTCTGTTCTTGATGTTTGATGTTGGGTTATTCTTCTATGCCATTTTATGCGTTCTGGCGCTTCGCAACTCCATGAGGACATCTGGTCAAGCTTGGCATGGGCCCGCCTATGCTGGTGCACGAGTCCTGTGCTCCTCTGCACGCCGTAGCGGTATGGTTCACCTCTCTGGCAGGGTCAAGGCTTGTGGAGTTCAGCCAGAAAATGACCAAATCATACGTATCATCCCGAATCATACTTATATAATCTCACCCTGAAAAATCTGAAAAGGGCTCAAATGTATCAAATGTCGAAACTAGTTGAAGTATTGAAGTTAAGCACTTCTGGCAACAGAGTTTACAACACAGCACTATGGCAATGTCATGGCAATGTCATGGCGATACAGGAGCAGTTGAGCGCCTTGCGCTTTTCGACGATGATCCTTGGGAAGAGCTCCACCTTCTACCTGGATGCCTTTACCGAGGCAGAATTTTTTTTCAGGGTTCGCCGACCTGCAGACATCTCATACAGGGTAAATCTGCATAGAAACAACGCGCAGATCACCAATACCCAAAAAGTTTCAGTGGCAAGTCTCAGAAAAAGCTTCCCAATGAACTCAATTCATCTCAATTCACTTTACTGTAAATGGCCAGTTCTTGGTACTTTGTCTGGCGTTTTTTCTGGCCGAAATCTTGTGTTCCGGATCTTGAGCACGTGTCTTACGGCTTTTGTTGCTTTATTGTTTGTCGTCAGAAGACTCCCTGAAGACGAAACTGAAAAGGAATCTAGCGCGACTGACAACGTCTACCCACCACATGTTTTCACCCAATGGACATTGACATAACTAGAATGCATGTGCCGTGGTCAAAACATGATATGTGTCATGGTCATCCATTCCAAAATGGGAGTCCTTATTATGGGTAAATGGATTGATGACCGATGACCACCCCCAAATATGGACAATCCACCCAAGTTTTGATCAGCAGACATATGATATCACGATGTTTCAGGTCCATTCTGTCGCTTCCTGCTTCTTGAGGTCCTAGATGAAGAACCCTCCGAGCGTGGCGGGCGAAAACAACTCCCCCAGATCTGAGGAAGAGAAGGAAAAGAAGGGAAAGAAGGGTCGAATGGGTCGAAAGGGTCGAAAGAAGGGTCGAAAGAAGACAACGATACGAAAGATAGCAAAGACAAGATGTCCTTTGAAGCTTTCCGAGAACTCCTTGTGGAACACAAGGTCGAGCTCTCAAAGTTTGGGACAGGCGCGGTAAGACTAAGAGCAAAATAGTGACATTGCTTTCAGCAACTGGTACCACAAGCCCTTTTTGCACATAGTATCACAATAATTTTGACATATTTTGACAATAATCCACCATTTCAATCACATAGTATCACCATTTCGTAACATTCTGAAACAATCTCAATGTTTTTACATCTTATGTTTCTGCCATGCTGATCCATCCCGAATTCACCAGCTTCCAGGTGGTTTCAAAACTCTGGAGCAGTTCTATGATGATGTGGTGACCACAGAGAAAAGTCACCTACAATTTGTGGGAGGTTCTTTGCGTCGTCTTGTAGAGCTGGTGCGGATTTCGTTGCGCTTCAGAAGTAGCAATGGCAAATTGAAGGAACTGCGGACAAAATGTGTTGCAAACCCAGATGGATCTCTTCGAGAAAAAGATCTGCCATTGGCCATGGTTTTGCGACCTGGCGATGCTGGTGGATGGCAAGCGGGTGTGGAGAACTGCTTTCGAACAAAGTTCGGCTTATCGCCAGAGCTGCAGAAGCTCTGTTTTGTGACCGACCATCAGGCGTATTCTTATGAGGAGACAACTGCAGACTCCTCAACTGTACCGAGCATCCCAACTCTTTATAAGACACACAGCACAACGATCACCGTTAAGAGCACCACCAAGGCTGGAAGAGTGTGTTGGGTTGGGTAATCACGTCGGTAATAACGGTAGTTACGCTAAAAGATGCTAAAAGTAGAACGCCAACTGTGACAGTCACTGTACTGAACAGTATGGAGATACCAAATCGTACCACTTTGTGTAGGGATGCCACACTTCTGGTCTTCACGCTTTCCTTCAGATGAAGCAACGATTTGCGTTTTTTTGGGGGTTGGAGTTCTTAGCTCTTTTTCATGTTCGATGCCCTGTGGCTGTAGTCAAAGACAACAGTATTTTGTACAAAGAACACCTGCATCCTAAATCCTAAAACAGATACGCAATGGTATAAAGATATGTGGGAGGCCTCCCATGCACTTGGTGTGTGTGGAAAGCTGCGTTGCAAAAAACCCTGCCAGTCCCTGCCAGGCAGAGCTGAAAGCCATCGGTCTCCCGGCGGGTGATGACTTTGACACCAATCATAATGGCCTCCACCACTGGGGCTGGGTCGAGATCATCTCAAGCAGAGAGGAGGAACGGGATTGACATAAAGTGCCGTGGGAAGGCGAACAGAAGCAACACATTTCCATAAATGTCCGGCTGGAGGCTCTGGAATTAGTATGAATTAGTCATCCACATTTCAGAGTGTTCTTCCCACAATTTTAAGGACCTGGCTGTCATGGCTCAAAGTAAATTCTCCCAAACAAAATCCTGCCAACAGGCATTAGGGTGGGAGGATCCTCGCAGATAGCTTGTTCTGCGGAGAAATAAACCCTTTACTTGGCCTACAAGTTAGACAATAGCCTGCGCATGCCTTGGAGTTATTTGAGCTTGTGGTCATCTCCCTATATTATTTTTGGCAGGAGCTGATGCGCTTGCTGCAGTCGCATGGCATTGACTTTTCATTCTCCTGGCGCAGCTTTGCGGAGCTTTATGAAGAGATCTATGACAAAAAACAATCACGACTGCAGGCATTTTGTGCTCGAAATGCTGCACCAATTTCATTTTCCTATATAATCCCCGAATCCCTGTCTTTCAGTGTTATGGATGGTGCTCCTCTTGGACTGCAACATAGCGGGACATTTTATGATTTTCGTGCAGTCAGAATGTGGCCACGTGGCTCCTTGCCCATCAAGCATTGCCCACCTATCCTCCAAGTACGCGTTCAGCAAGGAACAACGAATCAACCAATGGGTCTTTATATATCAGCGCGCACACACACAGAGTTTGGAACATGCACAGGTACCATACCTGTCAACCAGTAGATCAGTCATCCACCCACCCATAAAAAATTGTTATCCGCTTTTTCACCCACCATCCTCCTTTCCATCCATCGATTCATCCATCCGTAAATCTATAGATCTACCCGACCCCGCCTGTTCGCTGGACAGTCCATCCGTCAGTCCGTTGCTTTGTTGTCCATCTGTACACTGTACTCGTTGCTGGTCTATTTTGCCCGTTGAGTGTACGCAATTGAATCTACTTCAACTGCATCCACCCTGCTCTAATTTGATCTATGCAAAGCTAATCTACATAATCTTCCACCCTCTTGTTTGATGTATTCGAATCTCCTTGTGCCAATCCCATTTCATTTTTGCTTTCTGTGGATGCAGATATTTGTTCAGTGCAAAGCTATTGCCCCACAAAACAACTGTAAACTCTTTGCCGATGCCTTTGGGATATAGTATATATATACACACATATGCACACATAATAGATATATTATTACTATTTTATTATTGTTATTGTTATTATCATAATACATACATATGCTCAAGTACGCATCCACCTTTGAGTAGAAGGAACCTTGTATTGTACAGTGGTCAACCAATGACAGCAATGGCTCTGCAGGTGGTGAACAATGAGCTGGTCCGGCACCTGTGCGTCATTAAGGTTTGGGTTTGTGCATCTATCTTAAACTGCAAGCACATCTTGGTGGTGAAGACAAAGCAGAAAGAAGGCTGGGCGGAAAGAGTTGAATGCTGCAATTGCTCTCCCGTTGCAGTTCAAATCCACACCATCTTGATCATTTTGATCATTTTGATGAATAATTTTGTATCCAGAAGACGTTTACAGCAAGACATTAAAGAGCTGTCACGCTGTGCCATGTGCTTTGTAGGCTCAGCCGAGATGCGCGAGCCACGGACTTTATCAATGCGAATGCGTGAGGGTCAAAGCTGGCAGGAGCTATAAAGAGGGAGAGTCATCTGGACAAGTTTGGACAAGTCTGGACACTGGACATGAAACCGCCACAAAAAAAGCAAGACATGTAAAAAACAACAGAAGACATGTGATAATGACATGGATAAAGAGGATGCTTGTTTAAAAGCATCTGAGGTTCTGAAACCAATGGACATACTTACAGGATCTTAAAGAATCTTAAGGGTGTATGAACACTATGAACTCTTCAAATTCTGTATATGTTCAATTAATATGAAACAGGCACATACCGACTGTTGACGACTTTTTGTGCTCATTACTCTTTAGAAATATTTCTGCACTTTGTGCAGCTTGGTATCTGGTGCAAGGGTTGAGGTTCCAGCGCGATTTTTTTGGTCTTCATTCGCTTGCGACACCTGTGCTCTAGGATGCATTGCGAGATGCCTTATACCAACGCCTTGGTCTTCCCGAACAACTACAGAGAGACGAACTTGCCTGCGATCTTATCGGGAGGCTAGCGAGATGCCTGACAGGTATTTATTCAGATTATTCAGGTAGATTAGTTCTGAATTGCAAAGGTTGAAGCCTTCGAAGCTCCTTTTTCTCGAACTCATGATTCTGGTGAGGTGCAACTGTCATATGAGGAAATAGCCTCAAAATAGCTGCATCAAATAGAGCGAATAATCATAGTATGAATAAACTTTAGTTTATGTAACTCTATATAACTTACATAACTTTATAAACATGCAAACAACGATCTGAGTCTTAAGAAAAACGGTTTCTTTGATCCCCTTCTTTGTCGCTCGTGTTTCAGGCGCCAGGAGGTGGAATACTCCAGGCCGGGCGTGAGACAAGACTTCTCCAACGCCACGTTGCAACGCCACGTTGCAATGCCACGTTGCAACTAAACATTCGTGGATAGGCACAGGATAGGCACATGATAGGCCGAAGGTCTTGAAATGATCTCAGATAATTGCATAGAAAACACATTGAAAACACCACTTTCTCAAGAAAATCGTGGCAAACTGCAGGAGCTTTCCTGGGCTAAAGACTCTCTATGACATCTTGGAGGTCAACTGCGAGGCATGGAACTTGTCAATCCAAGGTGAACTCTGAATGATACAGCCTGATGCCAGAGGTATGGAAAGAAAAACAAAGTTTATGAAAAGACCTTTCCCAATTCAGAACTCAAGTGGCAGATACAGATGATACAGTACTAAATTCATGCACTTGTTGAATGAGCTCATCGAATTACCAGACTCGCACCATGACAATCCGCTCACAAAGGTGTGCCATCCGCATGATCAGCGCTGGTCAGTGATTGGACTTCCTGCAGCATCAGACTTCACCTACCTCCGAAAAAACGAGGCCTTGCTGCAGCATTGTGGTCAGTGGCAACAAAAAGTTCTCACAGTTAAAGTTCTGACTCCCAGTTTTTGCTTCAGGTTGCTGGACAAACAGAAGCTGTAGTCACTCGATGGGGCTGGTGTGTACCAACTGGAGAGAACTACGTTCTGCAGCCACCCAGCTTGTTTGACAAGAAGGACCCAACACAATGCAGCGCAACTCATTGCCGTTGAACTCACCCTTGGCGTGCGTATCAGGGGTAGAGGTCAAATCTTTGATTCACCAAAGTCCCAAAGACGAAGCATCTTCGCAAATTTGTTGCCACTTGTGCTAGTTTGGTGATGTTTGGCGGTCCACAGACTTGGTGATGGGGCTGGTGTTCTACACATTCTACACCGATGGTTTCCTAGCCTGTTTTGTCGAAGGAGTCTACAGGCACAGTGGAGGTGGACCAGAATGGCCAGGCCATCGATCTTGGGACAAGGAAAAGACTCTTTACCATGTAGATTCAATGTAGATCATGTAGGAAAGAAGTGTCGAAATCATTATTTGCTTATGTTTCCTTGTCTTCTTGATTCTTGCAATTTCTTGAACACTTTCCGCTGCCCCTTCTTTCTCCTGTATTTAGACTTTCTGTCGATTTTCATTTGCCAAATTCATGGCAAAATGCCGCTGACAGTGAAACATGTGGATGTTGTCAGACTGTTTTCAGATGCTCAAAACCGGCTGACATCTGGCTGTTTTTGTTTTGTCCATTGGAGGTCTTGCCTCCAGGGATTTTGCCTGTTCGTGGCTCCAACGAACTCCTGGTGAGTCGGGTGATGGAAGGAAAAGTCACCGATTGGGCGAGGGCACGGAGAGCAGCAGAGATGATTCGCTCGCGGGACTACACGACGAAGGACAGGTTACCCTCTGGTAAACTAACATAACTATGGAAAATCACAATTTTCAATGGGAAAATCCACTATAAATGGCCATTTTCAATAGCTATGTTAAATTACCAGAGGGTATGGGCTCTATGGGCTCTATGGGCTATGGGTCAAGTCATGAAAGGTACCCCAAAAATTGGATGCTTAGCAGTCAAATACATGTTAAGACTAAAGATAGACTTAAATCTGTGGTCCCCAGGTCTTTAATTTTGACCCATAGCCAGATATCGTGGAGCTACTGAATTGTGCTATTCAATAGGGATACTTTGGGTGACTGAAAAGGGGGTTTGTTCTCCAGGGCAGTTTTTGGCCATGATTTTTTTCTGCGGTGCTGAGTTGTTGTGTCCCCTGAGGATTTCTATGAGGATGTGGTTGCAGCCTTTCCTGAACTGCGACTTTATTCCGTGGTCCGAGTGTCCGAAGTGAGATGCTTTGACACGCAGAAATCAGAATTTTTTTTGTAGGTTGATTGCTGCTGAATAAAACCCCCGCGGGACATTCATACTATATGAAACACTGTCTTTTGGGTAGAAGATGATATAAGTCCGTTCTTAGAACTTTCTCAACTGACACTGCGATTAGAGTCAGCAGCTCCATACAGAAATACTTCTAGCGTCCGATAGTAATATGAGCTGAACGGGAAAGTGCAGACGAGGACATCATGATCACAATTTGGTGATGAGTACATCAGCCAATCGATCGGGTGCCGATGAGTTTCAACGGACGATTGGGGCACTCTTCTGCATCTTCTGGCTCATGCGACAACACCTGGACGGGCGAGAATGTTTCTGCTTCGGTCTGGATAGCGAGTGGAAGAACGCCAAAGAGTTCCTCAGGATCGGGTGTGAAGAATCCTTCGTAGAGAATCGAGACTGTTTAGATATTCACCATTCTTCACCTCAGTATTTTATCATATTTTATCCAAATGTCAAGTCGCAGTTTAGGGATATTTAGGATATCAGATATCCATGGATATCCCATTCGGAAGCTCCTCTTGCAGATCCTGTAAGATGCCCAAACTTCAGCTGTGTTTGTCGAGGCAAACACCAGGTAGGGAGGCCGAGTACAATCGTCGCATGAATTTCTACGAAAAGGCCAACTGGAAGGCCATTGAGGAGCTCATGGTAGGTGCTGGATTGCTCACAGAAACCGGGCACGACATCGAAAGGACTGTTGCGATGACCAAACACCAATAGCAGGTCGAAGTCATACACTTCATTACAGTTCCATGTTGTATTTTGTTGCATACGACTCCCCGCGGCAAACACTTGAAATATATATCTTGAAAGCACAAGAAAAGCACCTTTCCAGCAGTACCTGCTGATCTCATACGGAACTTTCTTGTCGTGAGGACTTTGGCCATGCTGGTGTTGATGACCATTCACGACATTATGAAACTCGACATTTTGAGACCCTCTGTCTTGATGGCCGAGTTCTGTGGCTACAAGCCAGGAGATGTCTCTTAGCTATTCTTAGCTGCTATAGCTCCAAGGAAGGATTTTTGAAAGTGTTTGATGAGATTGCACGAAGGACCTGCATGATGTATATCGCATTTATATAGATTACACAAACGCATGGTTTGGCATCGGGCAAGTACCAACTGCATGTTGTTTTGCAGCGAGTTTCACCTTGTCCATCTTGGTCCCGTATTCTTAGGTGATTGGTGATCATGACATTGCTCTGAGCTATGTCTTGGAGCGCTGCCCAGAAGCCTTGCCCTCTTTTGCAGGGCTTTTGCCGGAACTGCAGGAAGCAGAGTGAGACTGTTTTGATGTGCTACTGTTTGATGTGTCAACATCCCGAGGCATTCCTATCGGAAGTCGGAACCAAAGGTCAAACGTGAGCAAACTGTCATTTCTGTCCTTCTGTTTTGGTGCTTCTTTTCAGAATCCAACATTTTTCCATGCCGTAATACTTCTGTAAGCCAAAACTTGCCAGGAGAGCATTCGATTTACTCACTGCAAACTGGATTACAATATGGGTTGGCTGGTGCAAGCAGAAGCTCATCCTGGTGCTCTCTTCCGAGCCTTCCGGAGGGTGATTCTTGAGCGACCTCAGGTGCCGAATGCTTTTTGAGCTTTCCATGGCTTTCCTCTGCTTTCTGCAGCTACAAAGAAGTAACTGAGGTAACTGAGGTAATTGAGGTAACTCTGTAACTTTGAGTTGTAGACTCTTGTAGACTTTTGTAGACCAAGGCCAATCAGCCAAAGCCTTGATGCCAATGGGTTGATTGTGGAAAGAGAGTAAAGTGCCGCAGTCAAGATAACCCAGGATCCATTGAACATAATGGGATTTGCTGCTGCACAAGTGGCTATACTTCTCAGTCACTGATTGTCCTTACTATTTGTGGAAGCTTCAGATTCGCCATTTGGGTTACAATGTGTGCGTCGCTCACAGCCATAGGGGAGAAAACAACGCAGGATATTGCCGACTTGTGCATACATTCAATAGATTTCAATAGCAGGTCTGTTTTGTGTTGTTGACCACTCTGCATTTTTTGCCAACTTTAGGCCATCGGCATAGTTCCTCTCCAGATTCCCATGTCCTATCTTTTTCGTTCTCCTTTGTTACGTACAGCTATCACTCTTGCAATGCATTGCCTCTCTGCAACTCCATACGTTGCTCCAGCTGCTTTGTGATGAGTTTGCTTTTAGCGGCTCAGCTTCGCTTGCTGGACCTTACTATACGAAATTCATCGAGTACAATCACTTGGCCAAAGCTTCGCAACCATCAGCACATGTCAAATCAGAGAATATAATGTAATATATATATATATATACATACGTGTATATATATATATAAATAATGCTTGCTTCGGCATTTATGTATCTCAAATAAAGGGAATCAATGTTAATGAAAATCACCTCCATTTGTGAAGCATCACTCAGTCAGGCCAGTTAGCAGTGAGCTCTTTCAACTGGTCTGGGGAGATGGCACCGTCTGTTATTCCGTTTGCTCAGCATTTCATTGAAAGATATTAAAACCCCATAGCCCATATCAGACATCAGACATTTTGGTATGCTCAACTTCCAAAACAAGAGAAAGACAAACAGCACAGTTACCAACTCGAGCTCTTTTGTCACATGGTGATCCAACTGTTCTCCGTCGAGCTTCAGGAGAAGTCTGGCAATGACGTGGCCTTTTACTTTGTGCATTGGTTCGCAGACTTGGCAGGGGCCGAAGCTTCACCTCTGACGGGCTGCGAAAAATTTGTACTGAAATTCCCTTTGCACCTTTGGCTGAAGAATCTGCGCAGCTGAAACTACTTGCAATGGTTTCAATATGTTTCAATTGGAGATGTTCTGAAGCATTTCAAGCTCACTGGTGTCAAATTAAGGCCTGTTCCAAAAAAGGACAGCATGGGAAGCAGTCTGGGCATGACATCTTGGTTAGGACTCTTTCTCATAGCTCTGGCTTGTTGCCTCTCTTTGACCAATTTTGACCTAGAACATGTAGGAACATATCTAAGGCACGTGTTGAGCAGCTTCATTGATTCTTTCCAAGTGGTTTGGAAGCTCGGCCCTCGTACGGAGACGGAGGCGGGTGGCAATGTGAAGCATTGTTCAGCTGTTAGCCAAATCTCAGAGCAACGACAGCCCCAAGACTCAAGATGATTCAAGATGCAAGAAGTAATGGAGAGAAATCAAAACTATTGACCTATGGGTCTGAGTTTAATCGCTCCTGGTATTCACACCCTCAATATTCCTATGTCTTGTGAACAATAGTTAGTCCTTTCTTCCTCGGGCTCCCTTTGCCCCATTGTTTTTTTGTCCTTCATGGTCCTTCTATGCGCGTGCATCGAGGCCTTAGGTATCATTATCATACTTCACATTGCTTTCTTTCCAATTTAAGTCCTAGCCTTTGCTTTCTCCACTCTTTTTCTATCGCTGTTAGCATTTGCGATTTTCGCTCACGATAGGTGCTGGAGGAATACCTCAAATGGCGCTGGGGCACAATGCCAACCAATCTCGGAGCATGTCCAACGGGAGCTGGATCTGTTGCCAAGATGAGATTGGTTCTAATGGCTCAGGGTGACTCGCTGGAGATCCTTCGGCAGTTCAGGCTGCTCCCCAAGTCGGATGCCAACATTCTTAGTAAGGACGGGGTGCTCGTCATTTGAGCAGAGTTCAAACCGCCTTCTTTATTGATCATTGTGATTATATCTTGTTACTTGTTATACTGGTTATACTATCCTATCCAATATATTGGGGATTATCCAACTCTATTGTGGGAAATTGTTTGAAATTGAAAAGTGCTTGCTTAAGTTCATGACATGTTGTGTTTAGTGTTGCTTGTCATGTGCAAATCTGTGTTGTGTCATGGCACTGAGAGATTACCTCTGTAGTTTTCCGACATTTTGTAGTGATTTCTTCGATTCGTTGGTGCAGGAGCTCGCAATCACAGGCCATACCGGGGTAGGGAGGCTCTCTCACATATTGACTTATATATATATATATATGGGTATCTTAGGTATCCTTTTGTTTCCAGATTCAGATCCTCTGGTGCACGGAATCCTATGGAATCTGCAATGTGAAAAGCACTGAAAAGCTGTGCCCCGCAGGTTGTCCTGGCCAGCACTTCACCTGTGACGATCTGAGGGAATCCCGGGGACCAGCCCTTTTGGTTTACTATGCGCCAGCACTAATGCAGAAAGCTGGTCGACAGGATCCACTGGGTGCTCTCAGGCGGGGCTGGAGTTGACATGTGATTTGGTTCCTGGAATACTGATGAATACTGATGAGTACTGGAATATTTGGAACTGCTTATGGACATTGGACCAGATCTGATTTGACAAAACACCTTGAGCATAGCTTCAAGTCTTCAGCTATTTTTACATTGTTGCAGCAGAGGGTCCCTGGCAGCCTGATGGTGACGCAACCAGGATCTTAGCTGAAGTCCTGCGACAAGCAAGAACGTTGTGGCCCCTGAATGAGTCCGACGCAGAGAAAACCGTGCTTGTGCGCATCGACATTCTCAAGGTCAGATTCTTGCATCATCTTGCATCATACAACTTGTGGACTTGTCGCCTTGTTGCCACATGCCCTCCAATTCCGATTCTCCCACGTGGAATGGATTCAGACCCGCATGTGCCTCATGAGTTTATAATCAGCTGCTCCTTTGGAAGTCTGTATCAACAAAAACACCTCCAGTGTTTGAGCCAGGAGCTTGAAGTCGCAGACATTCTTGAGCCAGCCACAGGCCTGTGAGCGACTGCATGGTTTGATCCACAAAGCGAAACGTTGCCGCTAGCTTCGCTAGCTAATTATTAGCTTTGCATCTGATATTGTTGGTCATTGGCATTCAAGTATACAATTGCCAACACACTGATTTTGAGTAATTAAGCAGGAGTGCAGACAGATGAATGGCTGCTTCACTGCGCTGTCAGGTGTTCGTTTTGTGCTTGCGAGGAACAGTTTGTACGATGGACAAGTGAAAGCTGCCAGTTTGGCAGAGGTACAAGAAATAAATGCTGCCACCTCCCAACTTTTGAATTTCAACCGCGCCTCGTTCCCTGGGTTTAGACCCCGCCGACTCAGTCTACTTTTCCTGACCTCTTTCCTTTCCTTTGGAACACAGCCCGCCTGACATCACAGTTTGAGTGATGCGCTTGAAGGCGCCAATTACGCCACATTCCTTCGGCTGATCCGGCTGAACAGCCTGGATAAACAGCCACACAGCTTACTATTCTTCGATCAAATCCCTGTGGGGTGTATCCAACGATGCCGCTTCGAAGCAGCGAATTCGGCTGGATCCTGCTGGACAGCAATGCGCTGGATTGCCTTGTCAAACAAGATTTTTGTGTATTCAGCATTTCGCCGACTCAAAGTGCCAAAGTAAAGACGCCCCAAAAGCAGAAAGCAGTCGAGTTTTCTAGTTTAGTTCATTTCCGAAGAAACTCGTCCAGTGCAGAAGCAACTCAAATGCCGCTACAGTCTTTGGCTTTACAATTGCCATTGCCGCCTTATTTTTCCTCGATGTGTGCTGGATTTGCAGAAGGTCCCTGTCAGGAATTGTCTAAAGCAATTTGAATAGCTGAAAGCAGTAGGGATCTGCTACAGACCGCCATTTGATAGCCGCAGGATTTGTTCAGTGAATTTTTTGAATATGAATATGACATAATGTGGTGTGACCAGGCAAGTGTTTGCAAGAATCAAGAAAGGAACTTCGTGGACACCGATTGACAATACGGTGCATACTGTACTGACTGAGCTCCAACCTCAACTTGCCGAATTTGCTGAACTCACCTGTGGGTGTAATCGGTGCAAGAAGGTCTCACGAAGATTTTCTCGGGCAACCCGAGTCGAGGTTCAAGTGGTAGGGCATTCAGCAGTCCGCGAAACAGGAAAAAGCGAAGGATTCCCTCAGCTTTTCCAATGTGTTGTATGTGTTGTGCAGACTCGGGCAGTTCTCAAGGGCAAATGGATGAAAGCCTTGTTGCTTCCCTTCCTGACCTTTCCAGGCACCCACTCCGCCGAGCCCACCAGCAAAGCGAGCAGCTAAGCCGGGGATCAGTTTTCGTGTCAAGTTCAGCAATTTTTGGAGCTGGCGCACGCTTCACACTAGATATTGCACAAATCTCAAGAAACTCTTGAAATTCTACGAATCAAGGGCTGAATGTCTCTTTGAATGCCTCTTCGACCAAGGGCTCCTGGAACTCCGGCACTGCACCAAAACTGGACCAAGAAGGACTGCAAGATCCTACAGAAACTCATTAGGAGATTGATTCATGTGAAGTCAAGCATGCCCAACTGCAACCAGTTGAATAATTTCAATGCATTTCATCGCATTTCAATGCATTTAACATGATCAGGATCATTCAGGATTGACACAATTAGTCTCCAATCTTCTGGTAGATGGAATCATTGGTCCTTAGGAGTCTCTCGGTTTGCGCCTTTTGCCAGAGTGGGGCTTTACAGAGGGAAATGACACGCCAGAACCCCAGCAATTTGGGTGGAGTGTCATCAATGACAAGAAGGGGATCCTTGTCCAAGCCGGACAAGCCGGACAAGTGGGGTTTGGTGTTGGGAAGTGTGTTTCCGGTTTTCCCGTGTTTTTGGGAACATTTTTTCATGTTTCGGTGAGTTCACCATGGGTCACCAGGGAGGCCATCAATCGATTCTGCCCCAGGCTACAAGTTGACTCGAACTTGCGTACTGTGACCATTGTGGGCGTCAACTGGCCGAGGCGGCTGACCAACTTGGGGTTGGCTTTCCGATAGACCCGATGTTCAGCAACGGCTGTCATGTTATATGTCAAGAGACCATTTCACGACAATTCTGTTGTGTACGGTTTTGAGAAAACACTACTCTAAGATCTCCAAGATCTCGAAGCACATCGGAGCACGTCGGAGCACGTCGCGTTTGTTCTTCTTGCAAAAGAAAAGAGTACGTCCTCCCAGCATCATGCCTGACATGCAGGGCTGTCCCAGCAACTTGTGCTTGGTACTCAGCATGTCCGAATTTCTGCTTTCAAGAAGTCACCAAGTTGGAGATTCACACCTCAAGGCACCAAGTCAGTCCTCGCTTTCAACATGTTTCGACACTTCACAGTGAGTTTTAAACACCATGTTCTGCGCCGTTCTTCGCCATTAGAAATCTGGGATGATAGTGGATTTCATTAACCATCATTAACCATCATTAACCACTATTCACATAAAATTCTGTTCCTTTTGCTTCCCTTGAAAACAAAGGTCTGGGCTCGCGAGGAGTTTCGAATCCCGGATCATGTTTTGTCCCGGGCACGGAGACTCAAGTCTTGCCGTGTCAGAAACACGTGGAATACCTGACATATCTATACAATTCTATAATTCTATACATACAGGATGGGGCCCCCCAGTTAATGGGGACTTGGGCCGCTTATAAGCCGACTTAGCTATCTTGGGGGCCCCATCCTGTATCTGACATGACCACAGGTGCCTGCAGACGTCCAAATTGGTCGTTCCTTTTCCGAGGTGCCAGCAGCGGCCGAGCTTGGGAATAGTGAGGCCACATCCACAGGATTCCAATGGATTCCATGGGGCCATTAGGAGAAGATGGCGACCAAGGCATTCCCCAGCACTGCAACTTCAGCCAAGGTGTTAGTGGATGTCAGATGTCCCCTTCCTCCAGAGATCTTGGGTGCTCCCTTGCTGAGCAGCAGGGTAGCCAAGAAGTACGAATACAAGATGTAGACATTGTAAACTTCAATGACTGCTTCCTGTGCAACAGGCAGAAATTGTTTTTGGCCACCTTTTCAAACAGTTCTTCCGACATGGTTATTTCATATTATTTCATGTTATTTCATTTTGTTTTGATTTCTCTGTGCTCTTTGACTTCCAGGTCTACATCTTGGTCTTCAGGATGGCCATGGAACACCGCTGCCTTCCATGCTCTCATCTCAGATTTTCAACGCTATGCCGAGGCTATGCTGGCTTTTCTTTCGATCTGAACGGCTTACGCTTGGACGACTTGGACGACTTGGACGACTTGGAAGGTGTCCACAGACTGTGGTCCTTCTACGTGTGGATGAGGCCTATGCCACTCTGGACTCGCCCCGAATTCCTTGACGCTTGAGCCTCACGTCGCCGAGTTGAGCTCCAATATGAACGAATATGAACCAATGTTTCTGATCTCCTTTGTTTCCAAGTAAACAGGTCCGAAAAGAGGAATCAGCGGATCCATCAAGATGTCGTGGGGCCTGAGACTTTCACCAGGTGAGTCCCAAACTCCTGGCGAGTACGAGAGGGCAGAGCGTGACAGTGTCATCTCCTCAAGGGACTTCGGAGATGTTCGGAGTACAGAATCAGACGACATGATGCGACCACATTGTGTTCCCCACACTTTTACTGAGAGCATGCACAGGTATAGGCCATGCACAGAAGTACAACACATCCTTTGAAATTGTGCAGACGCTGATAGAATCACTCACTCGTGGAGGTCATTGATGTTCAGAAGGAGGTAGCTAGGTTTGCCAATGCAAGAATGATGAGTTTATCATCGACCATCAAATTCAGAAGGCATCCTTTGCCAATGTTGATGAATCCTCTGACACATGGATGGCTTGCGGACTAGTGTTGTCTCTGCTCGATTTATTGAACATTACGTAATTTCAGGTGCATGAATGACTCTAATGTTGATAGAAGCTGTACAATGACCTGACGGCATTCTGTCACAGAGGCATTGTGAGCTGGCTTCAAGGATGCATATGTTTTTATCTATGTCTTAGAGGAAATCTTGTGCTGATTCAGAACTTACGCTATTGGATCTGATGAAGCCTAACGCATGCAGTCTTCAATGAAAGAATCAGTGACTTGTGCAGTGAGCTTGACATGGAGGTCATTGATGTTCAGAAGGAGGTAGCTAGGTTTGCCAATGCAAGAATGATGAGTTTATCATCGACCATCAAATTCAGAAGGCATCCTTTGCCAATGTTGATGAATCCTCTGACACATGGATGGCTTGCGGACTAGTGTTGTCTCTGCTCGATTTATTGAACATTACGTAATTTCAGGTGCATGAATGACTCTGATGTTGATAGAAGCTGTACAATGACCTGACGGCATTCTGTCACAGAGGCATTGTGAGCTGGCTTCAAGGATGCATATGTTTTTATCTATGTCTTAGAGGAAATCTTGTGCTGATTCAGAACTTACGCTATTGGATCTGATGAAGCCTAACGCATGCAGTCTTCAATGAAAGAATCAGTGACTTGTGCAGTGAGCTTGACATGGAGGTCATTGATGTTCAGAAGGAGGTAGCTAGGTTTGCCAATGCAAGAATGATGAGTTTATCATCGACCATCAAATTCAGAAGGCATCCTTTGCCAATGTTGATGAATCCTCTGACACATGGATGGCTTGCGGACTAGTGTTGTCTCTGCTCGATTTATTGAACATTACGTAATTTCAGGTGCATGAATGACTCTGATGTTGATAGAAGCTGTACAATGACCTGACGGCATTCTGTCACAGAGGCATTGTGAGCTGGCTTCAAGGATGCATATGTTTTTATCTATGTCTTAGAGGAAATCTTGTGCTGATTCAGAACTTACGCTATTGGATCTGATGAAGCCTAACGCATGCAGTCTTCAATGAAAGAATCAGTGACTTGTGCAGTGAGCTTGACATGGAGGTCATTGATGTTCAGAAGGAGGTAGCTAGGTTTGCCAATGCAAGAATGATGAGTTTATCATCGACCATCAAATTCAGAAGGCATCCTTTGCCAATGTTGATGAATCCTCTGACACATGGATGGCTTGCGGACTAGTGTTGTCTCTGCTCGATTTATTGAACATTACGTAATTTCAGGTGCATGAATGACTCTAATGTTGATAGAAGCTGTACAATGACCTGACGGCATTCTGTCACAGAGGCATTGTGAGCTGGCTTCAAGGATGCATATGTTTTTATCTATGTCTTAGAGGAAATCTTGTGCTGATTCAGAACTTACGCTATTGGATCTGATGAAGCCTAACGCATGCAGTCTTCAATGAAAGAATCAGTGACTTGTGCAGTGAGCTTGACATGGAGGTCATTGATGTTCAGAAGGAGGTAGCTAGGTTTGCCAATGCAAGAATGATGAGTTTATTATCGACCATCAAATTCAGAAGGCATCCTTTGCCAATGTTGATGAATCCTCTGACACATGGATGGCTTGCGGACTAGTGTTGTCTCTGCTCGATTTATTGAACATTACGTAATTTCAGGTGCATGAATGACTCTAATGTTGATAGAAGCTGTACAATGACCTGACGGCATTCTGTCACAGAGGCATTGTGAGCTGGCTTCAAGGATGCATATGTTTTTATCTATGTCTTAGAGGAAATCTTGTGCTGATTCAGAACTTACGCTATTGGATCTGATGAAGCCTAACGCAGTGTATTTGGGTCGACAGGTGTATTTGGGTCGACATGTTTTGCACAGATTTTGTGTGACCAATGATTTTCCTATCCCGAACCAACGTTTTTGAATGATTTTGGGGTCCCGCATTTTGTCAGAACTGTTTGAATCCAAGGCAAGCTTCAGGCCTTCCTGCTGTTGCGAAAGCATGGTGTTTGCTGGACATGGAGCACGAAGCCCAGCATCGAAGCATTCGCACATTTTTGCGATGCAGGAATCCATCACTATGGCACTATGGATTTTATATAGCCGCTATAGCCGCTATAGCCCTTGTGTTTGGATTCCCATTATGAGATGGATGACCACAAGCCATTTCCACATCCCATGTTTTGACCATGTGGATATTTCATGGCATTTTTTTCACTGTCTCAGGACCTGATGAATGTGCAACAAAACTGTGGCTGTCCAAATACATTCGAACCACAATTTTGATTGGTTGGGGACATGATAAATACATATTTTCCTACATAATTATCATAATTTCATACCACGCAGATAAACAGTCTTTCACTTATCATCAAGTCAAGAGCTGAGGTCTGAAGATGTCCCAGTGGTCGTAGAGGCCAGTCCATTTTTTTGTTGCTGCATCTTGCAGATTTTGAACACGAGAACAAAGACAATGAACATGGACAGATCATGACACATCATGACACATCACCACTCGGCACTGTCAAAATGATGCTGAAGTTTGACTGCAAGCCGCTGCAAGCCTTTCCACCTCAAGGAACGTTTTCTTGTTTGCATCCAGCGTGAGCACTTTGTACTCTGTAGTAATGGCTACATGTGCTGTGGGCAAGGCCGAGAACATGTGTGGAAAGGCTCTGTGTGAGTCTGGTGGATACGGTGGATCCAATGTCGAAGCTGATGCGGAGAAAGCGGAGAAAGCTTCTCCCGGGCTTCGCAGGAACTCCAAAAGCAGCGTCACCGCAGGCATCCGCCGCAGTGACAGCAGCTATGCGCTTTTGTTGCGCCTAGAAGAAGCTGGAGCTGAGTGGCGTGATGTGGAAGGTTTCAGCGATACAGAGTCACCCAAGCAGAGCATTTTGAATGACGAGAACGACGAGATCGGGAGGTCCCTTTCACCTTCAAAGAGATGGGAGACGGACAGAGACAGGTTCATGCAGATCAGCCACTTGCATCAAGCCCCAACTTTTCCAAGGGTCCTTTGTGTTTCTCGTCGCTACTTGCGCAAGAACAAGTACGTGGACATTACCGGCGAGTACCACCTGGACCTCATCCAGGACTATGGTGGTGCACCGGTGATCTTACCCCGGACAGCCAAGACCATACAGCAACTCTGTGAATATCTCCCTATGGACGGCCTAGTCATTGCAGAAGGCAACGACCTTTCTGATGACATCTTGCTGAAATATGGCTGTAACGTGCCTGAACGCCTCACTGGTGAAGCGGCCAAGAAGTTTGCGAGTGACACAGAGATGGATGTTCCAAAGGATGAGTTGGAGTTTGCCTTGATGCGCTTTGCTTTAGCTGCAGGTGTCCCGATCCTGACTTTCTGCCGAGGCTCCCAAATGCTGAACTGCATGCGAGGTGGAACTCTCATTGGTGACATTGAGAGTCAAACAGACAGCAATATCAAACACTTGAGGGACTCGAGTGATCCTGAATATGACAGCTTCAGGCACCCAATTGAAGTCAAACCCAACACTCCATTGGCCGAGTGGTTTGGTGACAGCTTGGGAGATGGCAACGATGGCAACGATGGCAAGACGTTGATGGTCAACTCCTACCACCACCAGGCGTCAAAGGACTTGGGATGGAGCTTGGCGCCAATGGCACACAGCCCCGATGGACTCATTGAGGCTTTCTATGATCCACGATATGATCCCAAGAAGGGACAATTTGTGGTGGGTTTGCAATTCCATCCTGAACGCATGCTTGGAGATTATCCTGGCTGTGCTCGATGCTATGAGTCCTTCTTGGAGGCTTGTAGGGCATACAAAGATGCACAAGATGCCTCTGCGTAGGTAGCCGCTCCAGCCGTGGCTGTGCCTTTTGATGCATGGCATGGCTTGGATTGGAGGCTTCGGTGCGACATGCAGAGACTTCAAGCCGAATCCAGACTTTCTGAAATATTTGAATCAAAATTGGGCTGTGCCCAAATTTTAAAACGCGCCTTTCAAGGCCAACTTTGGACCCCTGTGCCAGCGAAGCTGCTCGTGGGAAGATTTTAGATGTTGAAGGACCTTATCCTTTCTTTGGCCTCGCTGCCAATAGGCCCAAAGACACTGACTCTTGGTGGTCATTGACTCAAAGACCGAAAAGGAATCCCGGTGAGTCCTTGGAGGTCTTAAAGGTCTTAAAGGTGAGATAGTGAGCGTCCGATTGTGACACCAACATGGCTTCGAAACTTTTTCTGCGTCTGTAGCGAAGTCCTTTGATTTTCAGGACTTGTCCTGGAGATGCAAGATACTCCTATCATGAAAATGGTGAAACCGGCAAACGAATTACCAGAAAAATCTCATATTCCCAGATCCGCCCGATTTTTGTCAGGCCAGAGTGAGGAGTTCTTCCATCCAGTGTCTCCTGAAGGATGGGACTTTAAGACCTTGGAATGGGGATTTGGGGATTTAAGAACTTGGAATGATACTCAAGGAATCCCAAGCCTCTTAACTGTTTCTCTTATTAGTTGTCTGCCTGTTATGCCTGTTTGTTTCTTCGGATACCTTCTTGCTTTCCGTGCAAGTCCTGTCAAGGGACAGTCTGAACTTCCTAAACCTTGACGTCTGACTGTCTGATTACACTTGGTTCTAACTTCCTTTCTTGGCAGTGGTTCTATCGAGATGACTAGCTCTAGCCATACACTTCCAGGGAGGTCAAAGAATCAGCAGGGCACAACCAAGTATGATTCAATACTGTTAGCCTCTAAGCATCCAAACCTCTTGTGCAGTGTCTTCAGTGTCTTAGTTTTCTTTGGCCGTTGCTCTGTTGGATTGCAGGACGTCAACGCAACTTTGCAGAAGCTGCGTGGAGCTGCTTCGTAACTCCTGCGCTCTTGAAGACACACTTTCACATGAGAGGATCCTAAGCTTTGGAGAAGCCACACATTTGCCAAGCTTCTCCAACAGTTGCATGATTTGTCTGGGCTTGATACCTCAAATTGAAGCAAGCCAATGCAGACAAAGTTTCCTGTTGGGTCTCGTTCTTGGTCGCAAGTGCCAGGCAGAAGGTGTATTTGTCTGTTTCTTTCCATGAGAACTTGGACTGGGTCTTGCCTGGCCCTCAAGTTTTGTGTTGGTTTGTGATGAATTTGCCTTTTGCAGCTGCCTCAGATGACTTCTCAGTCTCAAGTACGGCTGCCAAACCTGACAAATCCCCAAAAATCTATATGCGAACAAAGCGATTGCACTGCGCATTGGTCCCTTCCGGCCTTTAATCTGCGCGAAGTGCAATGAAGGTATCACATGATTTTGGGATATTTTGGAGGTACATATTTCGATTATTTTCAAGGCCTTTGCCGACAGAGCTCTCCGTGGAGGTGGTGGATCCGCTGCTTGGAAGAAAAGCGCTGGACATCATGAAATCCCGAGCAGATGCTGTGGATATCTTTCGAGATTAGGAGTACTTATAAGATCTTATAAGATCTTATAAGATCTTATAACTTATAAGTACTTAATTCCACTATTTCACAATCTTTCACATGCACCAGCAGGTCACCAGGTCACCAGGTCCCAGCTTGAGGCCAGATGTGGTGACCTGGACGCCACATGTTGCAGCAGGGGTTGGGCCCCTGGATTTCTCCCCCTGGGCAGCAGAGACCTCATTTTTTTTCTAAGTAGATGGGGTGAAGAAGGTTGACGCATGTTGAAACCCTGAGTTTGAAACTTTGGCAAACTTTTTGAAGACTGAGCCCGGGTAGTTGGGCAAGTTCTGCAATCGTGCAATCTCATGGGTTCCTGCAGCGCCAAACTTTGTACTCCAGAACGGCCAGACTCCAACATCGATTTCGGGCTGTGGTTGCTGAGGATATGCTTTCAGCCACCCAGCCATTAGAGGCCCGAAATTCGTGGCTCATTCGGAGAAAGAGAACCATGGAGGATTTCGACGCATTGAAAGAGCCGCAAAGAATTGATCAGTTTGAGGGTGTTTCATGCATTTACTGCCCACCTTCCAGTGTGCAGAGAGGATCAGAGAGGAAGATACGAATGCAGTTTGTGCGTCGAGTCATAGCCAGCAAACTTTTGCATCAAAAGTCAAAAGCAACGTAGCCCATTGCCAAGCTTAATAGTATATAGATCAAGATCATGCAAAGCCACTGTGCGGTCAGTGACCTTCTTGACGAGGTTCTTATTCAAGTGCCTGGTGAAACAACTGTGATGAGCACGTTTCAAGCTCAGTCAAGTTCTGTGGAAGCTAGAAATCATATTCAGAACGCATCATTTTTTATTTTTTAAGAAAATATGATGCGCTTAGTACTATGATTTCTGGCTATACTAGGTCCATACCTCGACAAACTTCAAGTCGAAACTTGAGGTACAATCACTGGTACTGCGCATGGCGGTCCACAGAGGACGAACTGGTGCAGTTAAAGATCGCTCTTTAGCGTCGACTCATGTGACTTGACGTCTTGTGCCTGTGATATCCTGTGATGACCTCTGTGACAGTTGCTCCTGAGATTTCCTGACGGTTGCTGACCACAGGAAGCAAACTACAACTTTTTTGCTTCGTCGAGACTCAGGTATGTCAATACGTTAGGCCCTCAGAGGATAAATTTGGAAAGCGACGTGGCAGCATTGCGCTATGCCGCTATGCACCAGCCGTCAGAACAAGCTCCCAGTGTATGTTATGTATGTTGTTTGCATCTAATGTACAGTGCTGCATCAAGGTCTTTTGTGGTGTGTCCACTGAATTTTGCCAACTACAAGAACTTCGCAGCAGTCTGCAACTTGTGGAGCTGCTTCAGGAATGCTTGAATCAAAAACAGCAGAAGACACCAGTCACGGAAAATCTTCAGATTGGCCAGATTGGTGGAACGATTTGTGGAAAGATTGGGTAAACCATTGAGAACTTTCAGTCTTTTCAGTTTTTTTCAGGTTTCAAGTGCTACAGCCTTTCAGCTCTATTACGCTCTGAGCCACGTCCCGCTTGGAGTGAACGAAGCGGCGCGAACCTTCGATACCGACTGTGGAAAGGTCGTTCATGGTCGTTCCATTTTGTTTCCAAAAACATCTGCCGAGTTTTTTTTTTAAACTCACTGGACACACTGTTTCCAGCTGACTATTTTTTTTTCACCTCTTCAATTTGCGAGTTATGATACCGCGTTTGTTTGCACAGATTCTTCGTCTAGCAGCTGCCGCGCCATGCTGAGGGCATCGTGGAGACTTCTGCTTTGGTCTCCAGTCCCATCAGAGCTTGGTATCCTCAGAGTCGGAGATGTGGTATCTGCAGGTCATTTGTATAGGGCACCAGCCGCATCCGAATTAGTAAAGACTGAAGAGCTTCGAATGTAAAAAAACACCAATGAGTTTCATGATGAACCAATGAACCATGTAGGAAAAGCCTTTGTTGATCTTGTTGCGCGACCTTTAGTTGCTGCTCCTAAGACTCCAATTTGTGAAACGTCTTAAGTTGTACAACTTCGCGCGCTCCGCTTCATCTATATAGAACTCTTTGAGCTTGGTCTTGATGCACACAGCCTTGGCCCAAAGCCGGTGACGCAGCACTCGAAGCGTCAACAAGATGTCTTCGACTGGTTGCTGGCTATGGCTGCTACCTTTCGGTGTAGCGTTTGGTGCGGAGCAACGCATCTTTTGGGTGGATGACTTGATCTCCCAGACGAAGGCCAGGAGTGACGACATGATAAGACAAGTCCAAAGCATACAGATGGCCTAGTCCAGGCCGAGAAGCTAGTTTCCGTCTCCTTTTTTTCCCCTTGCCTGTCAGAATTCGCAGTCTCCCGGGACTCTCAGTACAGGACTCTAAGGATCTCTAAAAACTCTTGACTCGGACCAAATTGCACCAAGTCGGACTGCCAGACTTCCCTCACTTGGCGTCTCAGCGTGTGTCTCACATGCTGGTGTCTACTTTGGCAGGTGGAGTCCAAGCTGTGGATGATGACTGGAGAAGATGCCTCGTTCGGCAACCGAAAGATCCGCTATGATGACGAGGACTACTGCGTGGAAGCCTATGGCATCTCGTCCTTATCCTTTGACTCCGGACTCACATTTTTGCTACATTACTTGTTGTTGGTGCAACACTGTGCAACTCTCAGTCAAGTGATATTCACAGTGCCGGGAATGTACCTGCACGCTTGCAACAAGTGTACATTCACCCTGCCACAGGGCATCAGGGCTTTCAGTCCTTCGCAGGGCACAATTTGCACATTGCTAGACAGATCCAGACAGATCCAGACAGATCCAGACAGATCCAGATCCAGATCCACCACCGTCACAGGAACCGTAAATCCCACCATTTGCAAGCCGCCTCTTGACTGAACTTACAGAAGTTTTGGGATGCTCTTCGCACAGAAAAGATGACGGGACGGGAAAGCACACAACATATTAAAAAATATTAAAAAGATGCTTTGCAAAATGAACTTCACACATTGAGACACACTCTTCCAAAAAGGAACCTCTTTGCAATTTCATCTTTCCAGTGCTTTTTTTTTAGTTGATGTGCACGGGTGCTCGATGATTCGGTGCTCGAGGAGCTACCTCATCAATGGATGGAACACCACAGATGGAACCTCCCTGGCTGACCGAACGCAGCTCTCTGTGGCATATGATCCGGCAGGTGAAGGGGATGGTCACTCAGCATAGTTCTTTCACAATGCACTGATTTGAATTTGTTTGATATATATATATAAGTATATATATATATAAGTATATACATTATACATTATATTATAAGCACGGAGTTGTACCTTTTGTGGATTTGTGTGCAAAAAGCTTGATCTGCGAGACCAAGAGATCTGAGGTGAAAACAATTGCAAACAGTTGCTACCTGGGGGTTGAAACTTTCCAACAGTTCAAGCCGAGGTGAACATGTGGTTGGGCCGGTGGTTGACAAAACAAACAACCGTGTCTACTACATAACACCGACCTGTGCAGATTCTTCCCGGCGCTTGGGTCGGAAATTGGCGGTATGGAAGGCGGGCCAAAATCAACGGTGAAAACATGCCGCATATCATGTACATTCACGGACTATCAAGGAAAATCTGCCACCATTGTGAAGATTGATTTGCAATGTATTTGGTGGCTGCTTTAAGCCCTGCCCTGGTGGAATTAATGGTAAGATCAATGTCCACGTTCGTTGTCCCTAGTAACCTAGTAGGCTTAGTTCCTTCCAAGATCGAGACTTGTTTAGGTCAAGTACTTGCTGGACAATCAGATCGTTCCAGATGGGACTGTAGCAGATCCATTGCAATGTGCCAACGAGTCGTATGTCTTTGCGGTGAACCGCTATGATGTTGACACTGCAAAGTTCTCGTTGATCTATGTGGCCTCTCGAGCGACCTTTCCAGCGCCAGACAAGTGGACTGCATTCAGCTGGAAATTGGCCTTTGATGAATCCAAACAACGACTGTACTGGTGGTACTATGCAGGAAGCTGCGCTGTTGCACGAGCCTAGGAGGCAACCAGCATGAACCAGGGAATGCATGATGAGAGCGTGAATCAGTTGCAGCTTTGGGGTCTCAAGTATCCCTGTCAGTGTTCCTGACGAACGACATCCTTTCGCCACATTGATGTCTCCTGCAACAGGGCAGCCAAACACCTAGGATTTCCGACTGAAATTCGAAATGCAGTAATTGTGAGAAGCCCGATTTGCCCTCATCAAAAAGTTAGTGGTTTGACAGACATCTTGGATCCAATCAATTTCAACACTTGGATTTGGACATTTGGCAAGATGATATTTAGTGAACCAAGTGAACCCAATATGAACATGACTCTCTGCATCCAAGTCCAGCTGGCAGCTCACAGGAACTTGTGATGCGCCGTTGTACTACATTGATATCGGCTCCCTAACAGACGATGGTGACATGCCATCGCCCGTCTTGGCTGTCACGGTAACAGATGGATATGGTCACGAAACTCGGCATGGACTTCTGGTGCTTGCTCCTGCTAGTATTGTCTTCCCTCAGTTGTCGTAAGTTCAGTGGGGAGGTTTTCTGATGTTTTATGGCCTCAACGTCGCTAGAAAATTCCTAACACTCAACTGTTCTTGGATTAGCGGCTCTAGCTATTGTCAGGTCTCTGACCAGCACTGAAGATTTTGTGTGGTCAGTTTGGTCAGTTTGTCCATGTTGCATTTCCTGAGTTCCGAGCCTCTCTTTGAGGCATATTGGGACATGACCATCGATGATAACGGAATGATCTACTTGGTGGACTGGTGGAAGATTCGTTGCTTGGTTCGACTGGTGGTTCAGTTGTCTCTTTCTCGATTCCATCCCATCAAGATTTGTCAGGATCCATCAGGATCCATCAAGCCCACCCCGGGACCTCCGGGCATGGGTCACGTCAGGCAAATATGATCCCTCAACGAGTACTTTGTCAACGCTTCACACTGAAGACTACCTGAACACTGGCTGGCAGTTCTATGGTGTCAGCCATTGGACAGGCACATCTGGGTCCGTTGATTTTGTAGTTATTTTGTGGTCGCCTACACCGCGGTGAAACATCCAGCGGAAGCATCGATGGTAAAAGCTGGGAAACACCAGAAATGGAGAGAAACTGCAGCAACTTTACTGGCAGTCTGACATTACGTCACAGCTGCAGTTGTTTCGCAGGCACAAACAATCTTATCATCACGAAGACCAACACCGTGACTTCGAAGCTGTGGCTGTTTGATGTGACCAGCTCCACATGGACCGAAATGTGGTCGGCTGTCCACTATGAGTTTTCCAATCTAGGCGGGACCGGAATTCTTGCAAACGAGATGGCCTTGTGTCAAGACAAGACCAGATACAGTCTGGACATGGGACGACACCTTAATACACCATTGCACCTGCACAATTCAATTGCTCAATATTGCTCAGGCCAAACGATGTACAACACAGCAGTGGATGCGACTCACAACTTGCTCTACGTGGCAACCAGCGGTGGGAATTCTGCTGGCAGATCCATCATCGAGTTGCCGCTCACCATCACTGGAGAAAGCATGCCGTTCAAGGCGAGGAAGAAATAGAAGCAGGACATGTCAACATCGGTCAACATCCTCATCATTTGAGTGTTTGAAGAACTTGGAAACAAGTCACATGATGAGATTCAGAAGATGCAAGCAGATGTGATGGTGATGCGAGGCTTGCCTACAAGGTTCTTATTCTATGGATTGTCCTCTGTACGGCAAAGGAGAACGCCTTGTTGTTGGACATAAGTCTCCCAGCAGCATCATGCATCATGCATCATTCATGTTTTTTTCCTTGCGTTCTCTGTCTGGCTGCTGTAAAGTCAGAGCCTTCAGCTTACTTTTGTGTTCCTGAAGTGCTCCATGTTCCTGAGTCTTCATTCACTTCTTCACTCGCATAGTTGAGGTCGGCAGCCTTCTCAGTGGCTGGTGATGGCAAAGCCAGCAACTTTGCTGCTGGTACAGCAGACCGCTTTCCTGCTTGGGGCACCTCTCAGATTGCTGTGTTGCCGGCCACTTCTCCAAACACCTACCCGACCAAGCCACTAGGCTGAAATACAGGGAAGCACGCATGCAACATGCTGCTCCCGCCCTGTGTGTTTTTTTCCTTCTTTATGATATCGTCTGATTGATAAGAATTCGGTGTGCTTCCAAGCTTCTCAATATGTGAGGCAGTTGATTTTTCGTTTTTTGACCAAAGCCTTTCATACAATTTGGATCAATTTGGGAGTTCGCACCAAGGAACCCATGTGCCTCCAAAGCGGCTGCCACAATCGACATCCTCAGCGCCAAACTGAAGGCAACGACGCGGACAATGTGCGGAAGCCCACCCACCTCCACTGGCTTTGATACCAGGCCTGGTTGGCGAACCCAAGCAGTGAGCTCTCATGATGTCTTCTCGTGAGATGTCGTGATGTCTTGTGAGATGTGTCCGAGTTCGTTCGGTTTTTCTGTGTTTTTCTTAGAGTCTTAGAGGTCGTTCTACACAAGATTTAGGTCAGAGATGTTTAGAAGTGGTTCTACAGCAGATCCAATGGTTTGAGATTCGTAGAATTCAATTGCTTCCACATACCTCATCATACCTCTCTCTTTGCAAACTTTGTCCTTTAGACTTGGCCCTTGGCCGTGGTGCGCTAGGCACATCCTCTTTGCAGTCGATGCAGGTGACATCCATCCAAATTATTTGCTCCGCTGCTTGGCACAGATCCTGTCACTTGCTGTAAGTCTTTTAATATCTTTATATATTTTATATAATGTTCTTTACCGATAGCACCATTTGTGTTCCATTTGCAATTTTCTATCTTTTCCCTTGGGTGGCTTGTGAATCAGCTCCGGCTTGGGAGCGAGAGATTGGACGTGCTCAAGAATCTGTTGCTGTAACGAAAAGACTCAGGAGACTACACATCCTTGGAGGGCCTTCGCACATCATCTGATGGTAGCTTCGGATACTCGTATGTAGGCATCCGCGGACATGCAGGATGACACAGTCAGTTATTTGTACTATAATATGCTATAATTTTAATACAATATAATGCAATATAATATAATATAACATAACATAATATAATATAATATAATATAATGTAATGTAATGTAATATAATATATTTATAATATAACATAATATAATATAATGTAATGTAATGTAATATAATATAATACAATATGACACACTATAATATAATATAATATAATATAATATAATATAATATAATGCAATGCACTATAATGTAATATAATATAATATAATATGATATGATATAATATAATATAATGTAATGTAGTATATTGTAATATAATATAATATGATATATATATATATCATACCATATCATATCATATTATATACTATAATTAGTACAACATATTATTGTCTTTTATAGTATGCCACCTGGGTACAGGTGATAAGAATCACAGAATTTGAGCTCTCATGTCCACAAGAACTTATATGAGATGTGGGTATGGATCAATACCTATTAATACCATTTTTAATGGGATGAACATCCATTTACCAGCTATTTTGATGTTCACCAGGGGTACAAGGTTTTGACCCATCCCCATGTATCAAGATGCCATATTGCCAGAGACTTTGCAATTTTGTTTTCTTCTTCACGAACTGTGTCCACAAATGGAGGCCAACGCCGCGCATACGCCAATTTCATGGACAGGGTCTTGGGATTGAGCGCCACGGTCATGTTCCGATTTGTGGTCTCATAGGGTTTGAATTTTCTTGTTTTTTTTGTAGTCACCATGTGCTGACTCTATAAGAGAATGATACAGAGAGACTCAGATAGACGATAAGTATAGGGATGATACCTATTGGAATGGTATGGATGAAAACCTATGTAATATATTGAAATATCCTATTTTGGAGAGATGAGCATCCATTTGCCAGCTATTTTGGTGTGAACGGTAGGCTTCGATCGCCAGGATGTAGCCACTGGCGGTGGCAATGACGGTGTGATCCCTGGGCTCCACTCCGACTGGGGCTATGGAAATACCGTAAAGTTTGCGGTGGACTACAAACATGGTGCCTTGCTTTCCCTTTGGTTTCTGTTTGGTTTCTGTTTGGTTTCCCTGGTTTCCGTGGAAAAAGGCCTTCCCTTGGGAATCCTTAGGACATAGATATGCCCAGAAGAGTTGGAGTTAATTGCGTGATATGGGACTATAAACAGATCACGAACCTTGTGAACTAAATCCTGATTTATGGAGAAAATACAAATTTCAGGTCCTGGAGAGTTGTCTTGTTTGGCCCACTGTACTTGAAGACTAATGCGAGCAGGGGATAATCTCACTACCTCAGAGATACTCCTACGATGGATTACAATATGTCCGAGCTCCTGAAGTCCTCTCTTGAATTCTGTTGGATATTCGATGTGTATGCAGCTGTATGCATGTATATATCTATGATATATGATATATGCAACGTACTTGATCAATCTCGGTCAATCTTGATCAACTTTGAGTATCTTGATACATTTTGATATTGTTTCTGACATAGTTTGCATCTTATGGAGGAAATGGTCCCCAAGTCTCTTTGATTGTTGCAAGGATATGTCTACTGGATCTCCTGCGAGCGGGCAGCCCTTCCTCGCTCGTGCTCGGAATATGCATTGAAACGAGTCCTTTGACGTCAACAGCACTCCTTGTTTTACACCCGAACAAGTGGCAATGCTTTGCAGACATAGTGACCGAAAAGGTGACCGAAAAGGTGACCAAAAAGGTGACCATATCTGAAATATATGTGAGCTTCGGGTGCATTGCCCTTCAATTGCATACTCGCCCTTGTTCGAGTCCAATTGCATCTACTTCAACATTCATGATGTCACGTCATGTTGTTGACATTTTGGTCGTTGCCACCAAGGTTTCCATCAGCAAACTGGAAGAGGCTGCCAAGATACCCGATCCGATTGACTGTTCCAGCACCAGCTGTCCGCATTCGGGGCCAACGCAAGTCCTTGATGACCGCCAGGTGGAAGGCTTAGACTGGCTTAGACCATCAATTTCCACTTTGTCAATCTTTTGGCAAAGGAAAACAGAGGTATATTTTATGGTATTTTGATGGTATTTTGCAGAGAAGTGCCATATTGCAAGCAGTTTCAAGATCTTTGCAACGCCTTTACCATAGCCCCCCTACGAGACCCTACATGGGACCTGGAGCTAAGGCTGTGATCAAAGCTGCCACTGAAGTGCTGTACACTCAAGCGACCCAACTCTTTCCAGGACCAGATGACACTGTGACGCACCAGGTTAAGATGGCGGTTGATCAAGAGGCTGAGATCATCTATTGGCTTGCCCCACAAAGCGCCAGTGGCTACATCTCCTTGATGTGCCCTTACAATTTATTACTCTTACATATTTTTTTTGGCTTATTGCACGGCTCTCGCCGCGACCAAGTTCCTGTCTCAGCAAAACACACATATATATATATACACATTTTATATCATTTTATCTCATATTCAGCAGGTTGTGAATCTGTTGGAATTTGATCATGACAGGTACTTGGACGTTGAGGGCTGGGACTCCTCAAAGCCAAAGTTCGAACCTTGCGACGTGGGAGAGGTGGCAGGACACTATGCTTATGGCTCCTGGCAGGGATACCCAGTCGCCATCAGGGAGAAGTAGGATGGCTTTTAGCCTTGGCGCCGGGAAACTGTTTGAAGCAACATGAAGCAAGATTAAGCAAGACGAAAACGCACCCAGACGAACCCAAGATGAACCAGAATGAACCAAGACGAACAAAGATGAAAACACTCACAGGCCTGTGTTGTTGGCTTTCTCTTTAGCTTTGGTAGCACGCAGATCGTAGAGGCCTAGATTTTTTTGCAGACTTTCGATGCCTTTTTGTTTGCTGTGGAATGGCAAATTTAACAAAGATGAATAGATGAATACATATATACGGTTATATAAGTTATATACGTATATATAATACACAAATTTAAAGCCAGCCGGGGAGACGTGTAAAGCACATATAAGGTTAACACGAGTAATGCAACGGGAGACAAGAGGTTTCTCGAAAAGCAGCCAGGTAATCAACACAACATGAAGCAGGAAGACACCAGACAAAAAATGTGAGACATTAAGCCAAATAAAGGCAAATGTTTTCCAAGCAAATCAAGAACAGCAAGATTTAACGGATGTTTTCGTTACATTCATGACTAGATTCATGACTAGATTCATGACTAGATTCAGGGATATTTCAACATATTTCAACGCTGTTGCCCAACGTTTCCCAACGTTTCCCAATGCAGGTCATCTTTGCAAGTTGCATGCGATGGATCTGTCTGGAGCCACGAGGTGGATGCCATCAAAACCTTGGAGACCTGGCAGATTTTTCCGTCGCAGATTGATTGACGTCGCAGGTAACCGGGGTAACCATATCAGTACCCTCTGGTAAACAGCCACATAACTATGGAAAATCACCATTTATAGTGGATTTTCCCATGAAAAACTGTGATTTTCCAGAGTTATGTTAGTTTACCAGAGGGTAACCATATCAGTAACCATGATCCATCACTGTGTAATCATGGTGGATGATCTTTCCACGCAAAGGAAATGCTGCAGCTCTTCTTTTCAAGAATTACATACTTGTCATAATAAGTCATATTTCCTGGTTGTTCCTGGTTGTCTGCGTTTTGGCAGTGAGATCGAGGATTTTACAAACGACGCTGTGGTGACTGAGTGCAAGAGCCAGGCGCACCGCACCGGAAAGGGGGCATCATAATCGAATGCCATGTGCCCACCTGTCACAGCTGTTTTTAAAGCATGTCTTAAGCTACCTATCATTCGCGTTACAAGGGTGTAGAATGTGTAGAAGCGTAGAACCAGGAAAATACTGGTGAGCCACCACCTCCAGACCAAAGATCATTTGGTGGATATCTTTCAATCCTCACTTTTGGTGTTTACATTCACGTGCACATGACCTTCGAAGCGACTTTCCGGCATTGTTGCACGGACATTCCCCGTTGATTGACTGCATAAAATCTACAAACTCCATCAAACTCTTTCACCATGAAGGTACTTGTAGTGTCTTCGAAAAGCATGCCGAGAGACATCACAGTGATGCGGAAAGCATAGAGCTACTATGAGCATCTATGATCTACTTGTATCAGGAGATTTGCATAGAAATGTCCCAGAAATGTTCCAGTTGGACACATTTGATAGTGACCTGCAGCTTTTCGGCTGCGAGGCGGCACAATGGGCAGGCCTCGATGCAGATGCTCGACCTGGATGGAAAGGTTGCTGGACGAGAGCAATGACTCCAGGCTGTGGTGTCAGTGCAACTGGTTCCTGTGTGCTGAAGGCCAGATGGGATCACTTGGGAAACAAGAGGACATATATGGAATTATATGGAATTATATGGACATATGATGACATATGCCAATCTGCGCAAACTGAGCATCTCGTTTTCCGATGGTTTCATGTCATTTCATCTCGTTTCTTGGTTGAGGGTCTTACAGAACCATCATAGGGCTTGTGACATCTTGTCCCTTGGTGATGCCTTGTCAGGCAATGGCCTATGACCCAAAACGAGATGAAATCTACTACGCCTTCCGTTCCAGCACCGTCAAGGAGAGCATCAATCGATTCAAAAGAACTGACGGCTCGCAAGGCGTTGACAGCGACACGGCCGTCTATTCCGGAGTGTTCTATGAGTGACTTGATGCTAGCAAAATGTCGAACAGTTTCGATGGATTTCTTACCTGGCTATACGTGGCATGCCGTGAGCAAATATGCACCTCTTGTTCTCAGCTTTGTTCCACAAGTACCACCACAACTCGCTTACTTCCTGTCTCTAATGTTGTCAATTCTGTTTTCTCTTGTTCCTTCTTTCTATTTCTTTCTGATGCCCGATGCAGTCTTTCTAATTACCGGCTCTACACATTGAGCCAGGAATCTCGGGTGGAATCACTATCACGAGGCCATAAAAAATGGCACCGTAAAGAGTCCCCCAAATTTACTGAACAGTAGACTTCAAACATCTTTAAACAGGATGTCGAGTTTAGGGAAGTTCATGGCTGGTGTTGGAGAGGAAAGCGGCTTGCAGTCCCTCCTTTATGTCCGTCCTCAAGCATGTCACTGCTTTGCGCCGTGCAGAAATTCATGTCTTGCACTGGTCTTGCACCTGCTGCACGGCACTCAGGTTTCCACCACGCGCAGACAAAGGAGCAGCCTTCATAGCGGGCATTGCGATTGATTCCCTGAATGAATTTATCTATGTTTCTCATTTGCAGTTGAGAACCACATTTCCACAGCAAATCCACATTTCCACAGCAAATTACGACCGTCGAATTCATTGATGATGGAACCTGACCCAATTTCTCATTTGCATAAAACAAATCGATCAATTTGGATGAAGAAATTGGGCAAGGTGGCCAACTACTATGGCAATTCGGCGCAGCAATCCTTGGTGATGTTGCCCTTGCCCGAACATTCAAAATATCCAGGCCAGGGAGAAGTAGGGAGGAATGTCCAACAATCAACTGGTTTAGGGGACGATCTGCAGCCATGGTTTTTACCACCGATTTTTTTTTCAGGGTTTCCTGTAGATTTTCGCTTAATCATCTTTGTCCAATTCTGGGAACCACACAGAGGCAGAAATGCATAGAAATGCGAAGAGCAACTGCTGAGTGGAATAAAGAGGATTGGGGTAGCGTATGGATTCGGTGGGTTGAAGCAAAACGGGACTCAACACGGATTGTTCAGGATCGAACCAGGCCGTGCACTCAGCCTATTGGCCTATGGACTTGGTGGAAGCCACTGATGCACCCATTGCCTGCCTGTATGGCCACGAGTCTATCCCTCACTCCTCTGGCTATGATAATCGCAAGTGCAGCTTGACTCCACTGACTCCACAGGTTCTGTTTGCACGAGAACTATTCTGCCACTGCTTCAATCATGCTGCAATCAGTATATAATTCCATGAAAACATTGTTTGGGAGGATCATTGCTATGAGAGAACTAGTTGAAGATGTACAGCCGCTTCACAACATATACTCGTACTAAAAGAAGAGTGAGCAAAATGTCACCCTTCTTGTAACTTTTTGGTTTCCATTTTCTTCCAGTTCTCTTGCGACGGCCGAGGTGAATATACAGGTGAAAGACTGCAGTGGGCTTGGCAATCGACGGGGATGGACGTCATTCTGCCTAATCCAGAGGGCATCAAAAGGCATCGCACACACACAGGGAGGGGAGGTTGACAGTAGGAGAGCTGAAGAGAAGGGCAGGCTGTGAAATGAAGCTCATATTGAAAGCGCGATGTAAGATGTTCAGATATTGTTAGAAGATGTTGGAGGGGTTTTCGAGCACAGGTTCTACATTACAGAGACCTCCAACAATCTTGCGATCCTACCTCCCAAACCAGATGTGCTGGGCCGTGCGGAACCCTTCAACTGGACCCAGTTCTACAAGATGATTCCGCACGCTTCCATTGGCATGAGCAAGGTGGAATTTGATGCGGTGTGGTGACGAGTGATCCCTTGCGATATCCTTGTCATTAATCCACTGCTCCACTGATATCTGATATCTTGTGATATCCTTGTTGTTTCCCAATGTTTCCAACCTTATCCTTGTCCATTGTGTTCACAGATGTATTGAATACAATTTGATTTGAATACAATGTATTGTGTCCAGGTGAATGGCTGGAAATATTTGAGCTTGCCCGTTGGCTCCACCGACTTGGGCATGCAGCCAAGTTATGGCTTCTGCGCGGAGCTTTGTTCCACCTTTTGGCGCAATGGACGACAAAGGTCGCATTGGCAGCATTGGCGGCATTGGGCAGGTGGAGTAATCTTGTTTTTTAGCGTTGTTTAGTATACCATAATATACTATACTATACTATACATATACATACACATATATATATATATACACATATCTGCGTATATAATATGTATGCATATATACATACATACATACATACATACATACATACATACATACATACATACATACATACATACATACATACATACATACATACATACATACATACATACATACATACATACATACATACATACATACATACATTTATATCTGGTACTGTGCGTTTAGGGTTTGTTGCACTGTTGATCGGAGCACTGTTGCAGGATGTTGCAAGATTCAAGGCTGCTCTGACTGGCTCACAAGATATAGATGTGCTTCTTGAAATTGGTTTCAACATGTTTCAATCATTTGGATCAACATGAGCGACCGGGAAACACATGAAAAACCATGAATAAGGAGCCATCATCTGCTCAGCTCAAGCGCAGGTGTATCGGATTTGATTGGCGCATGTCGCAGCATGACTGTGAACACCTCCAGCGCAATGGCATGATCCCCAGCTTCACCAAGAGTTGTGGATACTCCAACAGTGGTACCTTGGCACGCTGGGCTCGAGACGAGTACTCCTTGGGATAAGATCTGATCACTTAACTTATACTTAACCTACTTAAGACTTAGCATTTTGTTCATTTTTACGTTGTGCCAATGTCTAGATTTTCTGACCAATTTCTGATTTTCTGGGAGAAGAGATGCAAGTGGCAAAATGCATCAAATGTTGAAAAGAGGTTCGAACATTTGATGATATTTGATGATAGATGAATAATATTCATATAATGTGGCCGTGGGAACTCCTTTACGTGCATAGACCCGCACATGTGATGAGCACCCAAGGTCTCTCCTGCGTTTTCGCTCTCGTGGACCTTACGACCGAGGACGATAATTTCAAAGCATGGCCCAACCCTTGTTTCACCATGCCTGAGGCAGGAAGCCACATGCTTTCGTTTCCTTCCTGCAAACGTGATGATATTTGAACAGACTATAATGACTATATCAATCTATATATATATATATATATCATATGCGTATATATATATGTTTATATATGTACATGTGTATATGACCACCCAAACTCTAAAAAGTATGAATCCATGAGTACGATGCACACACACACACATCCACACACACACACACACACCTTCACATGAACCAACTTCTACGCAGATGCTTGGACACACACACACAGATAAAGTATGACAAAGGCACAGGTCTAGAGAAGTGAAACCTGATGAAGACTGATGAAGACTGATGAAGACTGAATGGAAGCTAAATGCATCCCTCAGAGTCACAGGCAGACACGGACGGCAACGCTTGGATCATTGGGAAGTCAGGCTATGCGCCAGAAGCAGGTTGGCCCAGCTTCGTGAATCTTGGCACAGCAATAAATGACGAGGAAAACGGGACCTTTTACGTATTTTCGTTTATGGATTTGTATCTTGCTTGCAAGACATGCTGCTTGGACATTTTGTGTGCATTCCGATTCACTTTTACAGCCCAATTACTATTGCAACGCAGTTCTACTTGCTAGGAGAGAAGGCTACAGCATGAGTGGATCAAGAGCACTTCTCTTCTTGTTGAAGGACCTCAACACTTGGGTACCCACTTCTAATTTGTAGCAGAATTCAATCGAGATCTCGGAGCCTGATATTTTTTGACTACTGGGAGGTTGATGCACTTGCAGAGTGGTATGGGTGCAATTGTCAACCTAGCAGATCTAGATGGAGCCCATCCACATGAATCCATGGTTTTAGCAAAGAAGAGGGCTACCGCCCCCTGCCGCTGACCCTGGAGCGAGCTGCAGGGGGGTGGTGGGGGGCAATGGATCAGGGTGACCAAAGTTACGAGTCTGAGTTCACGTGGCAAACATAGCAGACATAGCACCTATCGTTGCTTTCTGAGCCGACAAGAAACTATAACCAAGTTGCATCCCCGAACCTTCAAAACGCCACCTCCGCCACGCCCAAACACCATCCCCACTGAAGGGCAGATACCGCCTCGGGCCTGCTGTTCCTTGTGCCTAACGCTGCCTTCTGACTTCCAACTTGCATCCCCAAGCCTTTAAAACGCCGCCTGAGCCACGGATGTAGCTTCTTGCTGTTGCGGCAGGCTTTCTTCTTCCATGTCTTGGTGTTTCGTCTATACTTCTTTCTCTTGCCTCTTGCTGCTTTTTCTTGCTCTTGCCGCTTACTTTCTTCTTGAATTTCTCTTCTAACTTCTTGCATGATCTTGCATGTTTTTCTTCTGCTTTTGCTTCTTCCTCTTGCCTCTTCCCTCCTTGTTCTGGCTTGCTGCTCTTGCCGCTGGATTTCTTCTTGGCTTCCTGTTACCATCTTACTTCCTGTTCACAGCCCTCCGCTTGCATGATGTTTTCTTCGGGCACTTTCTCTTCCGTCTTGTTTTTTGGCTTTGCTTTCCCCTTCCATCTCTTGTCCCCTCTTTTCTGATGCGCTCCCTCTGCTGTTGGCAGGGTCGGCGGATTCCTGTCATTGCCACTTGCTGTGGAAACTTGCAGGACGAATTGCTTCAAGACACTACTGAAGGACAAGCTTTGCGCGATTTATGGCGCTCAGGAGTTCCCAATGCACGCCCTTTGGACCAATCATGAATAATCTGCACTGATGTGCACATAGTGTGCACTGATGTGCACATAGTCTGCACTTCTGTTTTGGAACATTTTGGAACCGGATTAGGGGAGACGGGGGAAGACCAGTGTGTCTGTACCGAATTCGACATGACATGTGCACAGTACCATTGGTTTGTCTGGCATTTGTCCTTATTGAACCAGGCGTCCCTGATCGTGTTTGAGACATCTTAAGAATGCCTGGTGACCCACAATACGCACAATACAGATACTCCATGATACACCATGGAGATCCAAGAAGAACTTTTGGACCCTTAGACACATTGGAGACACTAGAGAGAACATGAGTGTTCAAGGCTTGTGCATTCTGCTTACCTTAGTTATATTCGCCCTTAGCCGGCCTACTTTCGCGTGGTTTTGCAGTTCAGGTTGGTATGGAAGCACGGATACAAAAAACACCGAGTACGCTGTCGGAGATTCTGCGAAGAATGGAAAGGCAATCTATCCTGGAGACCTCAAGGGAGTCGCTGCGACGCAATAGCATTTCAGCAATGCGGAAGTGAAGCAGATGTGCATATCATATAGAATTTGATGTATTTTGTCCTGCTCAAGCCTCAATCCAAAAAGAATAACTAGAGAGAATCGGATGTAACCTGTGCTGTGGCTTCTCAAGCTTTCTATGGTGACCATGGCAATTCCAAACATTTCCAAACCATTTTTCACTTTCGTCGTCCAAAAGTGCACATTAGCTTCAAGGGGCTGCAAGCTTCATGTTGGTGCTGCTATGTGCTGCTACGGGCATGTTCACAAGCGTCTAGTTGGGAACCATGCTGGCGTTGTTTGTCCATTGATTCCTCAGGTCATCTTTAAGACAGTGACAACTCCGGACAGCACCAATCCAAATGCCATGGCCACCGAAGCGGCGAGTTGCTTTTCAAATGACAACGTCATTGCCCTGACGACCTCAGGCCGAGGGAGAGAACATGACGCGTCAAGGTAGAAAACAAGGATGCCAGATTGAGAACTGCACAATCAGCAGATTAGAAGTTTCCAAGTTGCCAAAAAACCTTTACCTAAAAGGGCTGAAGGCACGAGCTGGACAGAGGCAAAGCCAGAAACTGGGAAACATGCAAATGGTATATGTATATATATATATGTATGTACAACTATGTATATATTGTTACTGGTACGACTGAAAGGAAGCAGTGGTTGGGACGGAAGCGTTTGTATCAGTATATGCATACAGCATGCAAATGTCACACTTGTTGCTTTTCTAAATCAAGGATTGCATTGATATTCTACTGTACTCTGCCGGGATTCAGAAAGAAGTTCTTCATTGGGAGTATTTTATACTAACGTGGTAAACCAGCTCAGTGTTCAGTTTCTGTAAAAAATAAGAAATTGGAATCAGATTGACTTACTTCTTTCATGATTCACACTTTCAGAATGCTGAGTAACGTGTTGAGAGTGTTGGCAGCTTCTACCATTGGCTGTTCCGTATTCTGAATTGTTCTTTCTAGTGCGTCTTTGGTTTTTCTTTAGGTGTCCAGCCAAACCCCCTTCAGAAGAGAATAAATGCAGATGTGCTTTTCATTTTCTTGCGATGCGGCCCGCCTAAACATTTTATTCCACCTAGGCACCTCACGCTAGGCTTGCACTAGCATACACGTTATCGCTAGGCCTGCATGTTTCACAGCCTGTGCAAGCTGCACGTTACCACGGTGCCGGCAAGAATATTCGAACACCATCCAATGCCCTGAAACCATTAAAGACATAAAGCTGCATGTTCAGACTGTAGCGCCACATAATGTCATCCTCCTCCTCACCCTCCTCCTCCTCCTCCTCGTCCTCGCCGTGGTCGTTTTCGTGGTCGTCGTTATCATCGTCGTTGGAAGGCAACTGAAAATAATCATGCTAGCAACCGTCTGCATGGACAATCGTAAATACAAGACTGGCATGTCTCGCATTGTTATCTAAAGGATCCTTTTCGTAGTTGTTCCAGCACCAATGTGCGAATATTTCAGGCCCTTCTTGCCATGTTTTCAGCCCACAGATGGAAACACTCAGGGATATCTGGAAGATTCTGGAAGGATTTTGCTTCCGAACGTTCAGGACAAAGGCTTCCTCAAAGTCCGGTTTTGGATCTTATTTTGCTGTGAACCGAAACCGCTTCTTCCGACTTAAATCCACGGCAGAACCATCTGTGTGTTCCATTTGCCCTTTCTGCAACTCAGCGGTCCAAGACATGTCTAACTCCTTACATACATCTTAGCTACATGTACTACCCGAGCAAGTAAGTTTTGTTCGCAGTGCCCTCCAACCGAATGCCCAAAACAAGGATGATGCTGGATTTTGACTTGTGAAGTGCTTTTAGGAACAGGATTCTCTGGTGCCCCATGGGTTTGCCTGAAAATGGGGCTATGCGGCTATACCACCACATGGCAATTTTAAATGGGGAAAGTGGTGATCAACCATTAAGTTTGGTGCCACATACAGAGCTGACATTGCTCTTCCTCTGTTTTTGGAGGATTGTCAGGCTGTAACTAATTTTCATCTCAATGTCGGACCAAAGCGCCAGTGAATTCCTGGCTTGACCAGTCCAGCACCAGTCCAGCAGTCCAAAGAAGTTGATCGCAGTTAGGAGGGGTCGCATGCCGCGGTAAGTTCCATTGTTGTATGGTAGAAGGATATGGTGGAAGATTGAACTTTTAGATACGGACTTATTCACCCTTTCCACTCACACTTGGCAGGCTCTGCGACAAACTCTGGGACAGAGTCTGAGTCTGGCAGCAGCGCAGCTACCACCAGCACCGCAGCTACTACCAGCACGCCTGCCACTGGATTGCCGGACTGCAGGGAAGGGTCAAGTGGGTTGGTTCGGGCCATCTGATCAACACAACAAATTTGTTGCCACACGTCTCAATGAGCTATTGTCTACTTCTCGGAGGCAGGGACGATGTGCACCGGGCCAAGCCTAGCATGTGGCCTGTGAAGATTTCGAAAGTGTCAATCATGCCCTGTGTGAGCCGTTAACCACGAAGTGGTGAACCGTCGCCAAACGAAATTTCCACACGCTGCCTAGCGAGAGGTCAGAACTTGTCTTGGTTGCTTGTTACTGAGCCTTCGCTTCTTGAGAAACTGACCTGGTCTGGCCCAGGTATGATGTGTGAATATGTGACGTCATATATTTTGTACCACATACCTTTTTTCTTTACCTATATCTACATTTATATCTAATGCTAATATCATCTAATATCTATGTCTATATGTCTATATGTACTATATATCTCTATCTCCATCCCTATCTCTATCTCTATCTTTATACATCTGCATCTACATCTAGTTCCATATCTATATCTAACTCTATACCTATACCTATGTCTATGTCTATGTCTATATCTATATCTATATCTATTGTCCATTATCTATTATCCATTATCCCCTATCTTTTGTCCATTGCCTATTATCCATGGTCCATGATCTTTTTTCTACTGTCTATATCTCTATATATTTTTTTTTTTAAACTCTCTATCTTTCTCTGTATCTTTCTCTCTATCTTTCTATCTATCTTTCTCTATGCATCTTTTCTTTTTCTCTTCCTCTCTCTATCTCTCTCTCTCTCTATCTCTCTATCTGTCTGTCTGTCTGTCTGTCTGTTTGTCTGTCTGTCTGTCTGTCTGTCTGCCTGCCTGTCTGTCTGTCTGTCTGTCTGTCCGTCTATCTCGATCTCTTGGTCTCTCTCTCTCTCTCTTTGTGTATCTGTCTATCTGGCGATCTGTCTATCTGTCTATCTATCTTTCTACCTATCTAGATATTCATGTATGTATATGCGTATATATATATATATATGTACATATGTGTATATATATATATGTAAGACATGTGAATCCTGTGACCGCGCAACAGTTGACACGATCACGATGCGGTGCCGCCGCAGGACGGCGGCAAGGACTTTGCTGCATTCTCCTTTCAATTCCGCTTCAGTTTCCTCGGTCTCATCTTGCTGCTCTTGTAACAAAAGACAAGTTGCAGCACGTTGCAGCCAGGAAGGTCTGCCCCAAGTCGAGAGTCAGAAGATCTAAGAAGTACAAGATGAAAACACAATGAAACCTATGCGATTTGCGATGGCAGATCTTGAGACCTTTCAGCTGGAGTGAGCGTTCCTGCAAGCCTTACGTAATTTGTAGACGCGGACCATCCAAGCATCCAAGGCAAAACTGTTTGCACACCTTGGTTTTGGGAATTTCGCTAAGGGACTACACTGACTACACGCATTCATATGCTGGAAAGTTGACAATCTCAGACCTTGCAACAAAAGATCAAGATGCGCACAATGATCGGAGGGTGCATCCAGCAACGCCTTGACATTTCCTTGGCAAACTGACTGCTCTGAGAGCGAGTCAGTGATGAAGTCTGCCGTTTGAACTGTTGCCGAAGTCATGCAGGGCATTGCCCTTGCTCGAATGGCTTGGATCCATTGCAGTTCCAGAGAGATACACTGTCGACACTGCCCTTATATTTTTGATCCTCAAACTGCTGTCCCTTAATCTTGCCTCATGCAATGAACGTATGTATATATATATATTCACTATTTTTCCGAGTGCACTTGAGCTGTTCCAAATCTAGCACCTGCAAAGACTGCAATGGGCAGTTGCATTATGTTGCTTTCAACTTTTCAAAGTCCGCTGTCCAGACACACAATGTGGGAACATCTCTTGCGGACATTTGACCCGCGCCGTTACCATCCCTGGGGAAAGTTGGAATAGCCCGTGCCAATATTATCCAGTTCGCCGCAACCAACAGAAAAATCATGGCAGCCTAACAACAATATCAGACAGAGACAGTCTCAAACCCATCAAAAAGACATCATAACCCCAACCAGACTAAGTATTCACTACAGTAAGTCTACCAAAAGATTGAGTGAATAGAATCACAAACACAATCAGAACAAGCACCAATTATCCTCATGTTTTGAACTACGTACATCAGATTTTTTTTTTCACAATTTGATTTCAATCACTTTTCTACTTTTCTGCAATTGAAGCGAAACGAGAGTGTGATGTATGATTAAGTTATTCATTTTAAATCCAAACATACTAAGTATATATAGATATATACACACATCATTTCTTGAGGCCTCTGGATTAGTAGATACGTAGGTACATGCTAAGTAGTTTCTCTCCACTTGGTCTACTATGTCAACATATTACTCAGTATGTTTGCTAAATCTTTCCCAACTGACCCCAGCGCCATGTCACTATCCACCATTCGATGCAAGTGCAAAAAAGTCGGACCATGGACTTGTATTACTAGAGCCTCTGAGCATTGAGAGGTGTGCCATGGTGTGTGCTATAGTGTGTCAGTTCAAGCGAATCGATTTAGTTCGTTTTGTGCACTCGTTTGGTCACCAGGTGCACCCCATGAAGATCAGCTTTCCAAGATTCCATGAAACTTCGCTCGTCACATTCTGCCGTACTAGGTGTACCTTGCAACCAATGTGAGGATTTCTGGAGCTCTGCCACAGGCCCCCAGGATCAGACGTTCTCTCCCAGATTTATGAATGACATTGTTGTACCGGTTGTACCAAGAGCTTGTCAGATAACCAGGCAGAGGCTTGACAACCGGATTTTCGGAAAACATGTAAGTGGGATTGGCAAGGTTAAAGTTTTGCAATCCCGCTGTGATGGGGTCCTGAAGCCTGCCAGGTGCAATCCACGGGAGCGTTTCCATTGATACATGTAGCAGGCACGAAGTTCCCACCTGTCTCAGACCTGCTTTGTGACGCTTGGTGAATCAGTTCAGCCAAGGACACCCCTTGATCTTGACTCTTTAGACCCACGATATTCCAATCGCTGCTGTTGAAGTCATGTGCATCTTTGGCCAGGCTCTGGCTTGCAGAAGACCATCTATGCACTTGTCTCCAAGCCATGGTTGGAGTCCACTGATCTCCTTGCAAAGGAGTGTAGGCAGGGCAAACCAAGCAAATCAATGTCCCATTGTCATGCAAACCAAGCATGTTGTTCGTGATTTTAGGTTTCTCTTGGTCATTCTCAAACTGTGTCAGTCCGCCTTGGGATGCTTGAATCCCATCAAAAACGGCACCCCAAATCTTCACAAATACCGACATATCTTGATCTGAAATTTGAAGAGAATGCTCGTTCCTGCCATATGCTACTGAAATTTGACCAATTTGATCACGGACCTGGACGGACTGCAGGCTTTGTCAGCCGCAGTCCGACGCGTCACTGCCCGGAGCCCTGGGCGCCGCGTCGATGCGCCTGACGAAACGTGGTGTTAGAGCTTCCAGTGCTCAAAAAATGAGGAGATTCTACACATATCTACACATAATACATATATTTGACATATGTATGTATATATAATTATATATGATTAATACATACATAGCTCCCATGTGATGTAACGTAAAGTAATGTAATGCAATGCAATGTAATGTACTGTCTGGCATTGCATGGTATGGCATGGTACGTGTGTATATGTAGAACATGGGAGAAGCCCAATGTCATATCATGTCGGCCAAGATGTCCATCTAATGTCCCCAAACAAACGATCCATCAGGATTTCATCGAAGGAACAAACATGCACAGCACCAAATCCACACTTGTACCTAGGATGTGAATCGTGAAGCCATGTCACGTAATATGTGCGGAGGTTGTGCCCGTACACGGCTACTGGCTTGCCCGGTGAAGCTGTGGTAAATGCTTTGCACTCAGAAGAGGTGAACAGTAGCTTAGCCAATTGGTCAGTGCTGCTTCGCTGGGAACAATATTCGATAAAGGGCGACTCAGGTTGCCGCAATTCATTTGGTCCCTGTGCAGATTGGATTTGAGATCTGAACTGCAGAGCACCGGTTGTGTAGATGGGCTCATGGTGTAGTCAATCCAACACTTCCGCAGAATCTTATCTAATCTTAATATGTTTTCATATGTTTTCACTGTCTGAGAATCGTAGAGAAAGGATCTTGGATTGGCTCTTTACTCTTGTTTGACCATGTTTGACCAGATATGTCTGAGGCATCCTTCTTTCTGGTGGCCCTGGCGATTCTTTCAGATCAATTTTCGTCTTGTAGACCCACTAAACATGACGTAGCACTGCAGTGAATTCGCCATTCCCTGTATATCATGTGTGTATCATGAGATTTCCTGGAAGATAACGCTATGCGAAGAGCAAATTATGTACAAAGTCTCCTGAAGAATTTGACCATGTCCAGGTTGATCCTTCCCGCGTGGAGTACATTCTTCAGTTGCGCGAGACACCATGTGAGGAGAGCCTCCACGTGAATGATCTGGTACACATGGTGTGGTGCTGTTAGACTAATCTCGAATTGTGACACCGCAGACAGAAACTTCCATGGAGCACTTCCAGTTTGCAAAGTGCAATTCGGTGCTAGGATGGTGCCCTGTTGGCCACTGAAAGCCTCACCGTGTTCCGCTCTGCCGCGTGGGCCCCAAAGGACGTCCCATGACATCCTGCTGGACTGTTGCACTGGTGATGCCAAGGACGAGTCTTCGAAAAGCAGTCCGAATTACCACATTTCATAACATTTCTTCACATTTCCCCAAAAGGGTAGTAGGACATAGTAGGACATAGTAGGACATAGTAGGACATAGTAGGACATAGTAGGACATAGTAGGACATAGTAGGATTTGGGAAGGATTTGGGAAGGATTTGTACAGTCGGTGCCATAAACATCCACAAACCATACAAACGTGACATTAAAATGTGACCTAACTGTGATGTTCGCAGATGTCATCCCTCCTCTCCAAGGTGGGCCCCTTTACCGTTCATCCCACAACGGTGCCAGCGAATGCCACGGTTCGCTTTGCCATGACCGGGCTGTTCAGTGCCTATGAGGCCCGACTGCTTTGTCTAAGCGTCTCGGCACTCTCTCTCTCTCTCTCTCTCGCGCATTATCCAAAAGAGCAGCTGCGAAAAAAGTCCGTTGCCAACGGCTCAGGCTCAGTATTGTCGCTTTCGGATGACGTGGCCGAATGAGCTGGGATACCCCATGCAGCTGTCAGACAGGGTGGGAGCCCTGATTCGTTCAAGCTTGTGTGCGGGTTTTGACTCTTTTAAAGGTGTGTCACTGTGACCTGCTTTTGAAGGTACAAGCAGTTCGCATCAATTCGACGTTGTTACTCTGTCAATCTGGCATGTATTTGCACGGGCTAGGCTGGGAATGTGGCGCCATCAAAAAAGGTCCTGTTTGGACATGGAGAGCGTTGGAGTCAAAGTCCAGGTCCATTTTAAAACTATATAAATATATATATATATATTTAATATATATATATATGTGTATATATATATATTAAATAAATAAATATATATATATATATGTATATAATATAATATATATATATTTCAAGATGCAAACACAATCGTGTCAGGTTCCTTGGAGACGTTTGGGGCCAAGATGTCTCCAAGCCCATGAGAGCGTTATTCATGTGTCATTTTCTATACTTGTTCCTTTCAAAATCAATGAGTCGTTGTCTCCGCCGGTTTGACTTCTGTTTCCGCTCAATGGTCCTGGTGCACATTCAGTGGAAATTATTGTTGAACGACGCAACTCACATCGCTTTACCCAGGCCCAAAAATCCCATAGGTACGCATTGGCCTCAACCGGGCCCCTTTTGCACGTGAGAAAGGGAGAACGCGAGTCGACAGGAATGATCTAAACACGAGAAACACGGTATGAATATGTACGAATCATAGGTTGAAGTGGGAGAATTGGATAGAATTGGATAGAATTAGGACCAGGAGAACATGAGATCGGTGGCATGATTGAATTGTGAGACATTGAGGCCATCAACTTTGCTAGCCAAGGGTGTTGTGAGCTCAGATATGCAATGCATTGCAACGCGCAAGAAACAGGGACCAGTTTTGGACGAGATGATTCTTATGACATGATGAAGTTCTTTGATGTTCTTTGTTCCAACGACTTGCTCAGTCTGGAAGATAAAACAAAACCTTAGTGTCAGCCCAAACTCTTGTGGACACCTTGTGGATATCTTGGTGAAGACCCTTGTCCAATCCTGAAATCGTGAGGGCATATCCGGCATCTCTGAGGAGTTGCTCCTATGTACTCCAGGTTCTTGCATTGATGAAACGACGCTTGAAGGACGTAAAAGCTCTCGTTCGACTCTCGACGTATCTCGACTTGCTCTTCAGTCGAAGCACAGAACTCCGCAAGCTTTCAAGTAGTAGCTGGAGAGAATTTCTTCAATGAATTCTTCTATTTTCTTGAACAATTATCATTAGTATCCATGAATATCCATTAATTCATCTTGTCGTGCTGGACAGTGCACCAGGATTTGGTGTGCAGATCCTCTCCACCATGGAGGTCTTTGTTGCGTCCTGAGAGAACTGAGATGCACTGAGCATTTCTTATCAAGAAGTGCAAGAAGAACCTTGCACGATTGTGGCCTTTGCAAAATAGAACATGAATTAGCATGATATTTTGGAGACTAGGTTGCACAACAATATCCTTTGAACGTCTAGCATGGAATTTCCAGCAAGGCTCAAGTTCTTCGAATGTTGTATGATGTTGTATGACTGTAGGCAGCATGAGGTGCCCTGGTGGATCTGTTGGATCTTCGTGGATAGCGATGGCCCCACGTCCTTCGAGGTCAGACCATCTTTGGAGCTGGAGTCTTCCAACTTGGCGTATGTCCGAGGGGCTTCAGCAGATCAGGCGACCTGTGGGTCTCCTCAGGACTTTGTGGGATCTTGTCACATTGGATATAAATGGATAATATATGATACCATCTGGTTATTTAACATAGCCATGGAAAATGGCCCATTTATAGATGGTTTACCTATCAAACATGGTGATTTTCCATGGCTATGTTAAATAACCAGATGGTAATATATCATGTTGATAAAGATGACAAAGTCTTTGAGATCGGATCCATACCCCCAGCCCAATTTGTGCAGCTTTGCCAGACCCTGTTGATCTCATTTGGGAGCACTGGGCAGCTTCCGGTGTCCATTTTGTTTGGGGCTCAGGACAGCTCAGACTCGACGACCTGTTGTACCAAGTGTCATTCCAGTATTCCAGTCACATTCCAACATATATCAAGGATTCATTTTCAAACCAATTCGACATTTTCTAATCATTCAAGGATTCATCCAAGGATTGATTCATGGGTTTAAGCCTCTGAGGCTAGTGCAAAATTGTAAAACGGGCCAAACTAAAGACCTTTGAGACTGAGACGATTTGGTTTCACCTCGAAGTATGCTGCTGCAGAGTAGACATGCTCAAGGTGGCATGGAGCATGGAGCTATCTTTTCATAGTGAACTGGTTTCAGGAGAATCATTCATGGCTAAGTTTTGAGAGAATGTGAACACCTATCAAGTGAAATATTTTCGATATCTGAGTGAAGCAGTTCGGATGTTGTTGGTGAATCCGATGCTTCAGGCCTTGCATGATTCAGATGGGATGGTCTTCCGTAATCCTATGTGAAGCACTTCGAGTGTGCAACTCAGTGAGTAGCATTTTGATGCATTTTAAGTACCTCTGCAATTGGGATCGCCTTTGGCACCCAAGGTTTCTGGGAATAGGTTTGCACCATTTTGCACCGATTTCAGAGATGTGGGGATGGGTCAAAACCCTGGTACCTAGTGAACCCCAAAATAGCTGGTAAATGGATGTTCATCCCACTAAAAATGTATCTAGGTATTGACCCATACCCATGTAGACAATGTAGACATGCTAAAGTGCCTTTTCTGAGGAAGAAGCTTTCTATGCAGCGGATTTGCGCTGCCGTGTCCCAACAAAGTGACTCGCTTTGAATCAGAATTCAAGAGATGCACGTAGCTCATCAATGTGATCAAGAACCGCAAACTAGAAGTCCTGCCTGATGTTGACATTCCTCGCCTCGCTGTGATGGTATTTTCGGACTCTTGTTTGAGGAAAGACAGACCCGCAAAGCAGTTCAAGTCAGACATTCAATTCTACATGTCAATCACAAGACGCGGGGCTTGACCCCCTCGCGGAGATGCGAAGATCCATTTCTGCCCTTAGTACTGCCAGGCCGCCAGGCAATGCTAAATAGATAAAGTTGATAGAATTGAATTGTAATTGCTTCCTGCTCTTTCGTATTTCCTTTCGTATTTCCTTCCGTGCTTTGATTTGAAACTGAGCGGAAAAGAGTAGCACCAATGGTGATGGAAGCAGAAGGACTGCCGATAAAAATTAGTTCTTTTGCACTGTCATGGATTGTGAAGTTTTCCCTTTCTCACTTTTACCAAGCACATCAATCTGCGCCAGTTCGTCGTGGATCTTGCAATCACCGCAGCTGCAGTGCGCTGGCAGCGGGGCAGGCTGCGCATTCCAGTCGGAGTTCGAAAGTGACTGGGAAGGGCTGTTTCACTGAATTTGCCGTGACATAAATGTTGCACTAAATGTGCTTTTTTTTCGATGCAGGCTACAGCCCTATTGAAGCACCCGAAACCTTGCCGGTCTCAGACATTGCCTTGCCCATGGTGACAAGTCAATCTGCTTGAAACTCAATACTTCAATACACAGCCACACGACCTCGTTGGATCCTTTTTGAATACTTGATTGATATAAAATGATATAAATAAATACACATATATCATATATAAAAGGATATAAATAAATACACACACACATATATATATACATATCGTATATATTATTATATATATTTATATCATATAATACATTGTATTGTATAGTATGTTTATAACACAGAACTATACACATTGTCTTGAATTTGGCCAGATCTGGTTTCGAAATTGAAAAGGCCCAACAAGTGGGTCGGATGTTGAGCCGAGAATGAGCAGATGTTTGGAGAAACTGATCTTGAATTTGACCAGGGGATGCATTTGAGCAGCTGTAACAGGTTAGAACGGTTAGAACATGTCAGCATTGATTGTCAGGTTGGGAATGACTTCTGGTCCCCAATTGCTGAGGTGCATGATCTCCATGTTGATGCGGCTGACTTGCTCCGTGCAGGGCTCGGGGCAGCAAAATCACTAGCTCACTGAACTTTGCAATGGGATGCTCGTAGCTTCATTGTTCAAACAAAGCGTTCATGTCGTGTACGCCTGAAAAGCTTGAAAGTGCAGGTTGTCGTTCTGCTGAAAGGGCTTCATCGATTCATCGAATTTTGCTGCTCAAGATAGCTTAGCAACAAAACAAAAGGAATATCCTCAGATAGCAGCAAAAGCGTGAGCGACCTTCCGTGCTGCAAAGAAAACCGTCAGTTTCAAACGACCCATCCAACCACATCAACCATATCAACCATATCAACCATCCTATACACATCCCACAGACCACAACAATCCCGCGACCGTCAGAACCGTCACAGCCGTCACAACCGATACACAGCCGTGCAAAAGAGACAAGCAGGGCTCACGCAGCCTGGCAATGGCAGGACCGCGTCTCGCAGTGAAGCGACATGGTAGGCCTAGTGCTTCCGAGGCACTACGAACTCGATGTTTGGAGCAAGCACGAGCCAACAGAGATGCACTCTTCGAGAAAATGCGAGGGCAAAGTGCTCGAGATTTCACAGGGAGGGGAAGTCCCGAGTGTCCCGAGTGTTCTGAGACTCTGAAAGCTGAGCCCATCCATTCTGACTTGCGAAGTCTGGTGCGGGAAGTGGTCCTAGACTCGCGAGAAATGGAAGGATGGCTGGACGAAGAGTCGGCCTTGGCCTTGGAAGAAGAAATCTATGCGGAGCTCTGTGAGGAGGAGAAGCGTTTGGAACGCTTAGCCCAAGAAGAGTTGGAGCTCTTGGAGGAACAGCAGAACGCAGAAGATGCCGCCCTCTACGAACAGCATCTCCTGGGAGGAGTGTGCTGTCCCTTATGTGGTTTGGGTCGCCTTGAAGTGAAGAATGGCGAGCTGCTTTGCTCCAAATGTGAGTTACAAGTACAGTTGATGGATGAAGAAATGTGTCTTGAGCAGATCTCTGAGGTCCTGTACTTGACCGAGCGTCGACATGATGAGGCATGTGCGGAGCGAGGCAAGTTCGAAACCAGCGACAGCTGGGGCCAGAACCTGCTGCAGTTTCGCTGTAAAAAATGTGGCTGGAACGAGCTCGTGTTCTGAGAGCCGGATGAACACTGATGAACATGTTCCCGAAAAAAGTAGTATCGCAGTTGGATATGAGGATATGCCAGTCATCCTTCCAATTTTCTCCAAACGATTTGTTGGAATGCTCCGACTGACAAGTGCCAAACTATCACACCACTTGCCTCAAGCAGTTTGCATATCCCGTGTAGTCTGGGGAGGCAAACATGTGAGAATTTCACATGTGTCGATGCGACAGCGGGAAAATCCTTAGAATTGGCTGAACCCTCCAGGGACTTTGTTAGTTGTTGGCTGTTACTTAGGAGCCATTTCAGCAATGACACAATGGAGAAGGATGGGTAAGGAAGAAGGACAGGTTGAGTGTCTCCGCACTCCCTTCGTTGGGACGATACCAACGTCTTCTAACTTCGAGGCATGACTGATGTAATTTTGCCTGTCCTGGCAGGAATGCCAAGTACTAGTACCCCTCCTCACCACTGCGCCCCTTCATTTTTTCCGTTAGTCCCTATTGCAACCAAAACATAAATGTAAATCAATCACATATCTTCAGAAATCTTCAAATATCTTCAGCATTCCTTGTTAGGTCTTGTTAATTCAATTTGATTCCTTGTGACTGGATGCTACTGGTTAGATGATGTTCGATGAGGTTACGGAAGTGCCTTAAACGGACGGCCTCCTTCTGAAATTGCTGCTGTCCTGACCTTGTCATTTTGCATCATTTTGCCCCTTGCAAGTGGAGTTCAGAACCGGTCTGAATGTGTTGGAATCGTGATTGCTTGGAAACAACGTTAAACCTTGGAATTGACTTGGACAATCTACGTGTTTGCTTCTTCGCAGCACACTTTCAGTATCCTTCAGAAAAAGAGACAAAGCCTGTGGATGTCTTTGTGACCAAGGCAGACTTGGTGCTTTTGCGACTGGGCATTTCCCTCGCAGGATGGGAGGCAGGATCTTCCTCTAGTCATACTTCAAGGATGGAACGGGACAATTCTGCATCAAACCACCAAAAGACATGCACACGCATCTCTCATCAATTATAACCATTATATACCACTATTGGCTGTTGCATCAATCTATATACATCATACTACATCTAAATACAGTAAATACAGTCTGGCGGAGCTCCATGATAGCATTGTATGAGGATTTTTCTGCGTGAAGCCACCTCATCAAGCGTGATTTTTTTTCAACAAAGCGCCTCTAGTGTTCTGGCTCCTGGACACATCTGGATACCTTGATGCTCCTTTATGTAAACTTTATGCTCCTTGATGCTCTCAACATCTCTTAACTTGGCTGTGCTGTGCTGTGCTGTGCTTTTCGAATGTCAATGCGTCAAGGCCGAGACTTCAGACCTGGTTCGTAGCTTTGTGGAGGGCTGCCGCCTCTCAAGGCGATGATGAAATGCGAGAAGTTGATGATTTGATCCTTGCGAGTCCTGTAGGTTTGGATCATTGACTTTCTCGGTTGTTTGGCACCCTGGTTCAGAACAGGATTTGATTCCATGTATATATTTGATTCAAAAAGAGTATGATAGACATGGAAATTGAAGTCCTTCGAAAGGAGGTTATTTTGAACATTTTTGAAGCTGCTGAAATTCTGCCAGGAGTGCACCAGTAGAACGCCGGGCGCGGGAGGGATCAAGCTCAGCTGACGGTTCGGACTTCAGTTGTTGCAGCTGTGAAGGGATATGAATAGGATATGATGACCACTCAAAAACATGTTCAGGTCTCTACTCTACACATTACAATCATTACAACAAATCTCTACTATTCACCGTTTCCCAGGTTTGGCTGAGTACATCAGCATGAGCAATGGGACCTACATGTTCTTTTGCAGATTCGAAGTTTCGTTGGATGCTCAGAATATGGCATTGGGACACATTAACAATTACCCTCTGGTTATGTCAACAGTTTGCTATTGAAAATGGCCATTGAAATAGTGAGTTTTCCCATTAAAAATGGTGATTTTCCATAGTTATGTTAGTTTACCAGAGGGTATTAACATGTTTGACAGTTAACTGAACATATCTTGAAGTGTCTCTTTCAGCCTAGGAGTGCAGTCCATTTCTGATGGCTGGATATGAGGTCTGGCATCCAAGACATGGTGCCCTGGAATGACCAGGCGGCGTGTCCACTGTATTGCGAGATATTGCGAGTTTCAATCATTGTAGCGACGTTCTACATCCCAACTACAAACCTGAGTAGCGGAGAACCACGCTTTAGTTTTGCAGTAAATATAGGTGGTATTGGACCAATTACCAGAAGCAAGATGTACTTTTGACTTATGAATACTTATGACATATGTGACAGATGTAGTCATTTATGGTCCGATAATTGCATTGTCATAGTCCTTAACAATACTGAATCTTTCTCATTTCCACCATCTGCAAGCAGGGTTTGCTATTGGACTGTGACAGGAAGCGCCGTCCCTGAATCTCACGCTTCGGTTTAGGACTGCTCATCTCCTTGCAATCCTTTTATTCATCAATCCATTCCGCTTCCGTATGCTCCCATTCTCTGCCATTCCGTGCAAGCAGAAAAATCCGTGCGCAAAGGTCAGACCTATTTCGGCATGTTTCGGTGCATTTTTAAAGGCTTTGCTTTCCTAACCATATTTGCCAGTTCCTGAGTTTGTTAGAGGCCTTGAATGAACAATTGTCGGTTTGACGACACTGACCACTCCCAAGTCCTTATTCACGAGGAGTGGCCTGTGGTTTGACACCAACCGAAGTGTCACAGTGCATCCTCGCATCACTGGAGCAAGGCCAGCTTGGGTAGAGGTTACCAGGGAACACGTCCATCACATCCGCAGTTTCGTTTGTCAACTGCCGCAATCTTCTGCCCTGTACTGGCCCTGTACCCACTGTACCCAAAAAACGGCCTCAATATCTTCAGGGCATTGCCATCAGCGTGTGCAGCGAGGAGCTCAGCGCTCTCACCCGGATGAACAAGCGATAACTCTTGCAGCGAGATAGAACGAGATGCACAGATCACAGAATCAACATGAAACCAACCATGAAACCAACCATGAAACCAACTAACCATGAAACCAACCATGCTTCTCGCCTCTGAGGATGCGCATCACTGCGCGCTGCTGGTGATGGGTTCTGGCTTCACCGCTGGCGCAGCGTGTGTGTTCCAAGTCTGCTGGCATTTGCAAGGCACAGAGGTCACAGGTTGGCAAGTGAATTTGCTAATATTGCCACAAGGTCACAAGTGTCAGGGATTTCCTTTTTGGCAAGGAGTTCAATTGGATGGGATAATACAAACTATTATAGGAATTTACAAGATATCACATATCACATCATGTCACAACTGTCAATTGGAGTTCTTTGCCGAGGTACAACTGTGTTTTCTCTTCACCCAGTCATGATCTGGACCCTCGAAGCTGGTTAGTCTCGCCAGCTCAGGCAGGAATTAACACGTGATTCATCGTGATTCTGTTGACGTTCTTTCGGCATTTTGTTTCGACATGGTGATGGACAACCTATAGTTCAAAAGTCTTTGAAATCTTCCAAACTATCAAAACATATCAAACCGTTTTGGAGATATTTTTGGACTTTGTTAGAGGCTTCGAGGTGAAGGGCAAAACTGGGTTAGGTCCAGCCAACAAGGAAAACACAACATCTTGGATTTATCATAGAACTGTTTGAACCATTGTGGTTCGTTGTGCTTGGTTTGGCTCAATGTTGACGCTGCAACTTTGGCTCTCAGCTTCCAGCACAGATTGAGGCACAGAAAATGTAGTTGGAAATCCCGGATTCTTTTGAAGCAAAGTGCATTCGGCAATTTACGACCAGACGATCAGGTGAAAAGACTCATAGCTGTGCAAAGACTGCCTAGACAAGACTAGACAAGCTATTTGGGGTTCTGGAGCCTCAAAAAAACAGCGAATGTTGAAGTCAAACAACCTGGAAGGAGAAGGAGAAGATTGTCGGCCTTAGATATTACATTGCCTTCATCGAGTGAATCGTAGTGCTACACTGTACTCGACGTGGCTGTCTCCCTTCCTCCGTAAGCCGGACATGTTTGACATTGTTTGACCGTCTCAGCCATTTGTGGAATTTCCTGAGACGAGCCAGGTCATAATGACGCAAACACCTGGGCCTCAAGGCTGCGACGGATGTGTTTGGAATGTGCCGTGGCTGGTGCAAGACACTGGCAGTGCTTACACATAGTCACAGATAATGTTTCGAGATCATTCAGGTCATGTAGAATCAATGAGGTAGCCAGTTTACTACATTATATTACGGATATTACGGTGCCAAAAAAGACTTGGTTGGCCAGAGAATAGTGGGAATATAATGGGCATATAGATCCCCTCAACTACTAGAGGGTCTAAGATGGTTTGCCTAGGGCTCCCAAGATGGAAGGTCTAAGATGGTCTGAAAATCATTGTAGACCTTTTGCCTCCTACCATGTTAGACCCTTACTATCATGAGGGAAATCCATTCTAGACCTTTTGGCTTTTGCATAGGGAACTTCATCTTAGACCCTTTGCATCCTTGGAACCTTAATAAAGGTTGCCAAACGCATACCAAGCAACCACAACCAACATCAATCAACCACAACCAGTGGAGACATAAGGCGCAATCTTGTTGTCACAAGATGATGGTAAAATGGCGATGTTATTTTTTATGTAATGGATTGTAATGGTTCATAATGGTGCATAATTACACAAATAAACGAATAACATATTTGATGAATGCTTGCGAATCGCATAATAACATATTGGGAAATGATTCCAAATCAAGTACTCATTGGTATCAACACATATCATTGATATCTTTGTTGATGGTGATGGTTTCTCTTCTGTGTAGTTGGGAATGATCCATCTTGATGGGTCTGAAATGATGTTCCCATAGCATTTGTGGTGAATATTTCTGGTTTCAGGATGTGGTAAACCATTTCAGACCCATGAAGATGAGGAAAAGATAATTTATCTGGCATATCTTCTGACATTCTATCTGGCATATCTTCTGGTTTTCTATCTGGCATATCTTCTGACATTCTATCTGGCATATCTTCTGACATTCTTTCTGATATGTTGATGGTGATGGTTTCTCTTCTGTATAGTTGGGAATGGTCCATCTTGATGGGTCTGAAATGATGTTCCCATAGCATTTGTGGTGAATATTTCTGGTTTCAGGATGTGGTAAACCATTTCAGACCCATGAAGATGAGGAAAAGATAAAAAAAACATATTGGGTCACATCACATAATTACACATCCAACCCCAAAATACCTGGAAG